AGTGCAGCTCGTAGTCTCGCTGCGCTGCTATGTGGAGTAACACCCGAAGAGTAGTCATCTTCGGGGTCGGGGCGAAGGTCTGGAAGAAGTCAACTCCCTCACGCTGACTGAAGCCCCTAGCCACGTAGCGCGCCTTGAACACCGGCGGTGCTCCAGGCGGCCGCTTCACCTTGAAGAGCCACATGCCATCGACTACGTTCGCCCTGGGAGGGGGAACTGCGTCGACGTAGGTGCCTGTGGATCTCCAAGACGCCAACTCTGAGTCCATAGCCGCTTTCCACTGAGAGGCCCACGCCCCTGACACTGCCTCGCGGTAAGTGCGAGGAGTCGGTATGTCAAGGGCGTCGGGGTCTCCCTCAGGGGAGAGCAGCATGGCACACACAGAGGGAGAAGCGGCTGCCCAGTACTCCAGCTCAGACTCTCTGTCCTCTAGGACGTCACAGCCAAGGGCAAACTCACCCCCGACGGACAGAGGACGGTAGGGAGGAGCTGGCACCACACGGGTGGCGTAGTCAAGGCGGCTGGCGGCAGCAAACTCAGCGACAGCGGCAGTGAGAGCAGAGACCGACGACGGAGGGAAACGAGAGTCGGTGACAAGAGTGGCGAGGACACGTGCGGCAACAGGACGAACAGTGCGGTAGTAGTCAGTGATAGGAGTGGGGAGGGCTGGGAGAGAGGACGGAGGAGGAGACGGGAGAACGGACACAGGAGAAGGAGAACGACGACGAGACGTACAAAGGAGGGCAGTGTGGAGGTCAGTAACAGGGGACGAGTGACGAGCACGCGGAGGACAACGAGTGACTAAGTCGCGACGGACCGAAGGAGGAGGAGACTGGGGAGGAGGAGAAGACCAGACCGCCGGACGGTCGTCAGGAGGAGGCAACGGAGGAACAAACACAGGAGGAGACTGGGAGCGGACAGGAGGAGAGGAGGAAAATCCAAGGGCCCACAGGCCACTCACAGGTGGGAACAACTGCCGCTCCAGAGGAAGCTGCGGTGGCGGCTGCGGCTGCTGCTGCTGCGGCGGCGGCTGCGGCTGCTGCTGCTGCTGCTGCTGCTGCTGCTGCTGCTGCTGCTGCTGCTGCTGCTGCCGCTGCTGCTCCAGAAGGTCCAGCACCCGCAGCTCCTGCCGCTCCCTCTCCAACCGCTCCTGCTCCTCATGCTCACGCCGGCGGGCAGCCTGGAGTCGTGTGTCGTGGCGGTGGGGAGGCGGAGTGGACTCCGCAGAACCAGGGTCAGTCTCCTCAGACTCAGCACCCCCAGAACCAGCACCTCCACTGCCAGGACCTCCAACTCCAGCACCCCCAGTACCAGCACCTCCAGTGCCAGGACCTCCAACTCTAGCACCCCCAGAACTAGCACCACCAGTGCCAGCACCTCCAGCTCCAGCACCCCCAGAGCTAGCGCCACCTGCGCCAGCACCTCCAGCTCCAGCACCCCCAGAGCTGGCGCCACCTGCGCCAGCACCTCCAGCTCCAGCACCCCGCGACCGAGTACCCCCAGACCTAGCACCGCCAGTGGCTGCACCTCCAGCCCCAACACCAACCGAGTCCACAGTAACCTGTCGCGGAAGTGCCGAAGGCTGCTGAGGGGACTGCGAGGAGGACTGCGGGGAGGGAGACGCTACCTGACGCGCGACCGAGGGTAGAGGGGTAACGTGGGACACACCAGACGGGGCAGGACCAGGGGGGGGCGGGGGTACCGGAGGAGCGGGAGCAGGAGGAGGAGAGGGTGCGAGGAAAAGAGGGGGAGGGGGTACCGGGAGACCTCGACAGGGGTACCGGGTGTAGTAGGACACGGACTCGTCAAACCGGACGTCACGGGAGTCTAGGAAGTGGTGGAGGGGAGGGTGGTAAAAGGACCGGTCGGCATAGTCCACTGGAAAACCAAGGAAGACACAGGGGACGGCGCGTGCCGAGAGCTTGTCCGCGGAGGTGTCGCGAACAAGTGCAAGGCAGCCCCAGACTCGAAAGGCCGACCCGACACCAGGGGAACCAGTCCAAAGACTGGTCGGTGAAACCTCGGGCCGCGAGACACGCGGCTGGAGGTTCAGCTGGTGTGCGGCGTAGCGAACCGCGTGGGGCCACAGAAAATGGGGCGCACGGGCATGGATCATGGACGTGCGGGCGATGTCCATGACCAAGCCTATGCGGCGCTCAGCAACCCCATTCTGCTGTGGGGACTCTGGCAGCGTCCAGGACTGGGTGATGCCCTGTTCGCCGCAGAATCCGCCGAGAATGCCGGAGCGAAACTCGCCCCCACGGTCGGAGTGGAGACAACTGACTCGACGACCACGAGTGCCCTCAGTGGCTAGAAGCCACCTGATCAGCGTAGCAGTCACCTCGGACTTCTTCGCAAGAGGGAACACTGTGGTGTACCTGGAGAAGTCGTCAACGACCACCAGAAAGTAACGCTCCCTCCCAGACCCCTGCGTCGGGGCAGGGCCCTAGACGTCCAAGTGGAGAGTCTCGAAGGGAGCGGTGGCCGGACGAAGGGAGGAGGAGTGGGGAGTGGCGCGTAAGCGACCGGCGACGCACGGAGAGCAAGGAGGGGCAAGCGAGAGAGGGAGCGACGGGAAGGTGCGTGGGAGACCTGAGACAAGTGACTGAGCATGCCACGTAGGCGAGGGAGCGACGGGTGGCCAAGGCGGTGGTGCCACAGGACGGTGCGGTGGGTGAGAGAGCGACAGGAGCAAGACGCCACGACAGGACTGGGCACAGCGACCGGACCGGACACTACTACCTGGCTAGACACAGCAACTGGACTGGGGACCTGGGCTGGAGGGGACGCAACGACCTGAGGGGAGGACGCGACCGGGGAGCGCTCGGTGTGGAGAACGTAGAGACCGGAGCGGGGCTCCCTGGTGAACGTGGCCAGAACAGCACCTGTGGTAGCGTCTGTACAGACTCCAGTCCGCCCACCCCCCACGAAGGTAACCGTGATCCCCCTGTCCTGGAGGTATCCAACACCCACCAAGTTCCGAGTGAACGAGGGGATGTGGAGGCCGCGCAGGACACCAGAGGGGACCACAGGGCACGGGAGGGTGGTGGAGCTACGCGCAACGGCTGGTCCAGAGGTAGGATCAGCCAGAGCCACCGACACAGGTGTGAGGAGTGGTGTAAGGGTCGTGTGGTCGCGGAAGAAGCACTGAGACGCGCCCGAGTCCAGCGTGAACGACAGAGAGGCCTCAGCCGGCGGGTCACCTGACCCAGTCGCTACACAAGCACCTAGAGCAGCAACACAAGCACCTAAGCTAGACAGGCACAAGGCTACACTAGCAGGAGGCAAGCAGGCTAACCTACGAACACGCGAGCACACAGATCCATCAGCACTAAAGTCAGCATCAACATACAAAGCATGCTGACGCGCATCGTCCATGGACAAATCAAAGACATCAATCTTACGGGCTAACAGACGAGACCAGCGAGGCGTGACCGCCAGCGGGCCCCAACGAGCCCGGTAGAGGTCGTCGAGGCGGCGGAAGCACCGCGCGGCAGAGTGGTCGTCGCGACCACAGAGACAGGGGCTCCCCGGCCCGGTGACGCACCAGTGGGTGCACCGGCCAGCGTCACGGCGAGGGGGGCGAGGGGCCCAGCTGGAAGTACTGCTGCTGCGGCTGGTGCTCCCAGGGCCGCCCGGACCCCACTGCGGCGGGGGACCCCAGTGCTGCTGCGGACCCCACTGCAGCGGGGCCCCCACTGCTGGGGTGCCTGCTGCTGCTGCGGTCCCTGCTGCTGCTGCTGCTGTCCCTGCTGTGGCGGGTGCTGCTGTGGATACCGCTGTGGCTGCTGCTGCTGTGGGCCTCCACCAGTGGGAGGGCCCGGCTGTCCGGCGCCCGCTCCAGGGCCCCCTCCTCCCGGTGCACCACCGCCGCCGCTGCCACCTCCACCCCCGCCGCTCCCACCTCCACCGCCTCCTCCACCGCCCCCTCCACCGCCGCCGCCTCCGCCCCCACCCCCCCCCTTCCCGCCCTTCTTGCCGCTCTTGCCCCGTTTCTGCCAGTCTGCGGCAGAAACGGCAGCAGTGTCCTCAGAGACCGACACAGCAGCAGAGGCGCGGGTAGCGGTGAAAGTGGGAAGCTGAGGGGCGGCACACCCCGCAAAGAGACGGGGGGCCACCGCATCAGTGGCGGAGGCAACGGTGAGGAGACTGCTCTCGATGGTCCCTAGAGCAGTCGCTAGGAGGTCGATAGTGAGCTCAGTGGGGTGCTTCTGAAGAAGCGCGTCGCGGGCAGTGGCAAGGCGGTCAGGGAGGCGGGTGACTAACCAGTGAACAGTGAGCCACATGGGGGGGGGAGCAACTAGAAGCTGTGCGTCGGTACAGGCAGCGCGGAAACCGGCGTCAAGCGAGCGGAGGTGAGTCACTAGGTCGGAAACAGTCGCAAACGAGCCTAGGTCGGGAAACACAAACGGCATGAGGAGGCGACTGAGGGAGGCAGAGGAGGGGGTGGAGTAGCGAGCAACAATAGCCTCCCAAACCCCCTGTGCAGTCTCCACCTGGTCAAAGTGGGCGGCCTCAGTCGGGGGGAGAAGTTCCGACAGAGTGAGAGCGGCGGCTGCGTCACGGGAGAGCCACACGTCCCTGGCCAGGACCCGACGGTCGTAGTCCGCCTATGCCGTAGGGGTCGGCTCCGGGGTGGTCGGCAGGGCGGCGGGGGACGGGGGGGCCTGTAGGGCACCAGACGCGTGAGCCCACAGGGTGGCGCCGTCCTGTCGCTGGCTAGAGGCGGCTGGAGCACGGCGGAGGCGGAGCTAAGAACGAGGAGGAAAACTACGGAGCGCCAGGAGAGAAAGCAGCGGAGCGAGAGACTAGGAGTACCGAGCGACCTAGACTAGGCGTGAAATCGTGGATCGCCAGCTACAGGTGCGAGGAGCGAGGTATGAGCGGCTAAAACGGCTCTAACCTAGGTGACCGGCGAGAGAGAGCGGCTGCCAGCCGCTGAGGGATAGACCAGTGTCAGCAGAGCTGGGGAGGGCCCCGCGCACAAGGCGGTGGTGGGGCTAAGGTGATGAACAGTGAGAGAGGGGCGGGGAGGCCGAATGCGACGGTGTAAATGGGCGGGAGGAGGATCTGACGGTGGGAAATGGGCGGGGAGAGGAGGTTGACGCGACGGGCAAGGGAGGGCGACGGGATTGGGAGGGGAGGGCGACGCGACGGGCAGGGGGAAGGGAGGCGACGCGACGGGGAGGGGAAAGGGAGGCGACGCGACGGGCAGGGGGAAGGGAGGCGACGCGACGGGCAGGAGGAGGGGAGGCGAACGCGACGGGCAGGAGGAGGGGAGGCGACGCGACGGGGAGGGGAAGGGGAGGCGACGCGACGGGCAGGGGGAAGGGAGGCGACGCGACGGGCAGGGGGAAGGGAGGCGACGCGACGGGCAGGAGGAGGGGAGGCGAACGCGACGGGCAGGAGGAGGGGAGGCGACGCGACGGGGAGGGGAAGGGGAGGGGTGGCGACGCGACGGGGAGGGGGAGGGCGCGACGGGCAGGGGGAGGGCGCGACGGGCAGGGGGAGGGCGCGACGGTCAGGGGGGAGGGCGCGACGGGCAGGGGGAGGGCGCGACAGTGGGAGGGGCCGGGCTAGGCGCGCGGTGAGGGCGTGGAGGGCGCGGAGGGTACTAACGTGCGGAGGGCGCGGAGGGCACGAACGTGCGGAGGGCGCGGAGGGCACGGAGGGGCGGGCCGAGGGGCGCACTAAGGGGCGCGACGTGGGGCGGGCTGAGGGCCGCGCTAAGGGGCGCGAGGGCGCTAGGAGCGCGGAGGGCGCGGAGGGCGCTAGGCGTGACGGAGGGCGCGGAGGGCGCTAGGCGCTGCGGAGGGCGCGAGGGCGCGGAACGGAGGGCGCGCCGGCTAGGGCGGGGAGGGAGGATCGATACCTACTCGTGATACCATCTCAGAATCTACATGCAACGGAATGATTGGGATTAGGGTTTGCAAGCATACAAATAGGAGTCCTAAAAATGTTGTACCCTCTAGGGAGTGCCTCACTGCAGCCTATCATAACATTAACATTTGACAAATACAAACATATAAATAAGAGTACAAGGTGGAATACGAAGCGACCTAGCTAGCCATGTACTCTTAAGGGGTACATTCCCTTATTGCAGCGAAACCCAACCGTGCGACTCCAGACGGTTACGAACTGCTCGGGCAGAATCCTCGCCACTGCTGCTGCCTGATGCTGTCTGCCCCGACGGTCCAGATGCTTCGTAACCGTACGACCCTTCGCGTCACTTCCGCCTTTTCGTCTTCAACCTTGGTACTGTATGCTTCGATTGCTACTGTCAGGAGTGCACAGTAAGACTTCATATTTTACTATTCGAAACAAATTGCATGCAGCATGCATACAAATACACAAGTTAACACAGATATGCACGCGGCTTACCTACAAACCGAGCAGCACACCAACTGTACACCTCCACTCCACTACCGCTACTGTCCCTACACCTAGTGCTGCTAGTGGAGTTGCTGTTGTTAGAAAACACACATATAACTGCGCCTAATGTCCTGCTACTACTGATGCTAGTGGTGCAACAGTTGTTCCTGCATGCATCATTCAGTAGCAGCTCTACACCATGCCATGCCATCCCTGCATGATAACAAGTTAGCCAATCGCCAGAGCTCTCGACGGAGAGAGGCCCTGAAAAATGCCACCTGGCACAAATGCCACGTGGCATGGATAAACTGGCCTGAAAACACGCCATGTGTCAAACAGGAGTGTGTAATGAGGCGAGAAACAGCCCTCTCTTACACCACAAGGTGATTTGCCAAGGCTGGCACGGTGCACACCACCTTCGAAAAGAGGTTTGCCTTGCGAGGCAACCCAAAAGTGTGCACTATGGAGAAACAAGCTTGCGCATGCCTGCTCATCTCTGAAAAAACAGGCCCGTATTTCACACTGTCGGCTCATACCTACCATGTCCCATGTCCAGGCTTGTGCCCTGTCATGCGCCACCCCTCATGGCTTCTATCCTGCCATGCCCCATGCCTTGCGGGCTTGCTGCTGTCCCACCTGCTGCTGCCGCTCCCCCTTCCTGCCAAGTCTCTTGTCTCTCAAGAGGAAGTGGCAAGGGAGAGCAGCAGCTGCTGCAGGTCCTTGGGGCGGATGGGTTTGGTGAGGAAGTGGTTCATACCCGCAGCAAAGCACGCCTCTCTCTCAAAGTCAAACGCACTCGCTGTCAGCGCTGCTATCACCACCGGCGCCTGCTCCTCTTCCTGCTGCTCGCTCAACCCTCCATCCTTGCCGTTCTCAACCGCACTAAACCTACCACTGCCCCTTCCACTATTCCGCCTGCTCAGCCCAGCAGCACTCGCAAGTGCACCTGCATTGCTGATACTGTTGCCACCACTCGTGTTTCCTCCCCTGTTGCTCACTTCCCCTCCTACCCCCGCCACTGCTGCCATAGCTGCTGCTGCAGCAGCTGCCCTTTTAGAACTGCTACTCCTGCTCATACCACCAGCACCACCACTGCTCATGTTGTTCCTCCCACCCTTACTCAACTCAGAATCAACGGCCATTGCAGCAGTACCAGCAGCCGCTGCACCACCACCAGCACCAGCAGCACCCGCACCCCCACCTTCCCTCCTCCGCCTCTCATTACTCTCACCATCGCTACAGTCACTCCGGCTATCCCCCTCACTCCGACAACTCCTTTCTGCTTCCGCCTGCCTAATCCTCCTAGTAGCCTCCAACCCATCCATCTCCGGCATATGGCAATCCATCAGAACCAAATCATATCTAATCTTGAGACAAGCTTCCAAAGCCTGCAATCCATTATCCACGACGTCAAATCTGAACCCTAGATTCTTGAGCATGCGGGTTACCACTAACTGGTTCACTTTGTTGTCTTCTGCTACAAGCACTCTCCATTGCCGCGCTACAGCCGGCAGCACTGGGGCCGACTCTTCAAACGAACGACGCCGCCCAGCAGCCAGGCTTCGACCGCTAGTGTTCCCGAAGCTGGTTGCCGAACCTGCAGCTCCGGGAACAGCTTTGGCACTTCTGTACGCACTTGACGCGTTCGCCTGGGCGATTGTGGTGGGGGAAAACGGTCCGGCGCTTGCCATACCTCGGCTAGACGTCCGGCCCGAGCCTGACGAGGCTCGGGCTCCTCCCTTATTTGCACCCTTTGACTTCTTCTTGCTGCTGCTCTTTTCCGAACCTGTGGCTGGTCTGGCGAGGGGCGGTGGTCGCGAACCTGCACCCAACACTGAGTCAGCGGTTCGGCTGCGGACCGGGATTCCTAAGGAGCCTCGGACAGTCAAGGCTCGGTAATCCAGGGAGGTTCGGGTGGTCCGTATGCGAGAGTAATTCTCAGGTTCATCATCCTCCGAATCTGAATCGCCATCCTCCTCCTCCTCCCCTTCCTCTTCCTCCTCCTCATCTGTCTCCCCCACTCCCTCCTCCGCCACCTCCTCCTCACTATCACATAAACTATCATAATCACCCTCGTCCTCCTCCCCGTCTCCCTCCTCACTCACTGACCCACACTCGCCCACGTCCTCACTCACTCCCGCGCACACGGTGAACTCAAAGGTGGAGCCGTGCCCCTCGCTGCTGGTCACGGAAATCTCGCCCCCCATGAGGTTCACCAGCGCCTTGCAGATCGCCAGCCCCAGCCCCGTGCCGCCAAACCTCCGACACGTGGTGTTGTCCGCCTGATGATGAAGGGGGAAGGGAAGAGGAGTGGAGTGGAAAGGGGAGGGCGGTGGGGAGAGGAGTGGTGCTATGACCCATCTCGCCCCCCATGAGGTTCACCAGCGCCTTGCAAATCGCCAGGCCCAGCCCCGTGCCGCCAAACCTCCTGCGTGTGGTGTTGCCCCCCTGGGGGGCGGGGGGGGGGGGAACGGAACGGATATGTGTTTGAAGGGCCTAAGACACAACTCAGCCCCAGCCCCGTGCCCCTTACCTGTGTGAATGCCTGGAACAAGCTCCCCTGAACGTCCTTGGAGATTCCAATGCCCGTGTCCGACACCGAGTACTTGAGCAGCACCTTATCCACGGGCTCCCCCCGCCTCTCCTCCAGCTGCCAGCATGCTCCTCCCCCCATAACCCCATTACCCTTCTTACCTGTGTAAAGGCGTGGAAGAGACTCCCCTGAACGTCCTTGGAGATTCCAATGCCCGTGTCCGACAACGAGTACTTGAGCAGCACCTTATCCACGGGCTCCCCCCGCCTCTCCTCCAGCTGCCAGCATGCTCCTCCCCCCATAACCCCATTACCCTTCTTACCTGTGTAAAGGCTTGGAAGAGACTCCCCTGAACGTCCTTGGAGATTCCAATGCCCGTGTCCGACAACGAGTACTTGAGCAGCACCTTATCCACGGGCTCCCCCCGCCTCTCCTCCAGCTGCCAGCATGCTCCTCCCCCCATAACCCCATTACCCTTCTTACCTGTGTAAAGGCTTGGAAGAGACTCCCCTGAACGTCCTTGGAGATTCCAATGCCCGTGTCCGACAACGAGTACTTGAGCAGCACCTTATCCACGGGCTCCCCCCGCCTCTCCTCCAGCTGCCAGCATGCTCCTCCCCCCATAACCCCATTACCCTTCTTACCTGTGTAAAGGCTTGGAAGAGACTCCCCTGAACGTCCTTGGAGATTCCAATGCCCGTGTCCGACAACGAGTACTTGAGCAGCACCTTATCCACGGGCTCCCCCCGCCTCTCCTCCAGCTGCCAGCATGCTCCTCCCCCCATAACCCCATTACCCTTCTTACCTGTGTAAAGACTTGGAAGAGACTCCCCTGAACGTCCTTGGAGATTCCAATGCCCGTGTCCGACAACGAGTACTTGAGCAGCACCTTATCCACGGGCTCCCCCCGCCTCTCCTCCAGCTGCCAGCATGCTCCTCCCCCCATAACCCCATTACCCTTCTTACCTGTGTAAAGGCTTGGAAGAGACTCCCCTGAACGTCCTTGGAGATTCCAATGCCCGTGTCCGACAACGAGTACTTGAGCAGCACCTTATCCACGGGCTCCCCCCACCTCTCCTCCAGCTGCCAGCATGCTCCTCCCCCCATAACCCCATTACCCTTCTTACCTGTGTAAAGGCTTGGAAGAGACTCCCCTGAACGTCCTTGGAGATTCCAATGCCCGTGTCCGACACCGAGTACTTGAGCAGCACCTTATCCACGGGCTCCCCCCGCCTCTCCTCCAGCTGCCAGCATGCTCCTCCCCCCATAACCCCATTACCCTTCTTACCTGTGTAAAGGCTTGGAAGAGACTCCCCTGAACGTCCTTGGAGATTCCAATGCCCGTGTCCGACAACGAGTACTTGAGCAGCACCTTATCCACGGGCTCCCCCCGCCTCTCCTCCAGCTGCCAGCATGCTCCTCCCCCCATAACCCCATTACCCTTCTTACCTGTGTAAAGGCTTGGAAGAGACTCCCCTGAACGTCCTTGGAGATTCCAATGCCCGTGTCCGACAACGAGTACTTGAGCAGCACCTTATCCACGGGCTCCCCCCGCCTCTCCTCCAGCTGCCAGCATGCTCCTCCCCCCATAACCCCATTACCCTTCTTACCTGTGTAAAGGCTTGGAAGAGACTCCCCTGAACGTCCTTGGAGATTCCAATGCCCGTGTCCGACAACGAGTACTTGAGCAGCACCTTATCCACGGGCTCCCCCCGCCTCTCCTCCAGCTGCCAGCATGCTCCTCCCCCCATAACCCCATTACCCTTCTTACCTGTGTAAAGGCTTGGAAGAGACTCCCCTGAACGTCCTTGGAGATTCCAATGCCCGTGTCCGACAACGAGTACTTGAGCAGCACCTTATCCACGGGCTCCCCCCGCCTCTCCTCCAGCTGCCAGCATGCTCCTCCCCCCATAACCCCATTACCCTTCTTACCTGTGTAAAGGCTTGGAAGAGACTCCCCTGAACGTCCTTGGAGATTCCAATGCCCGTGTCCGACACCGAGTACTTGAGCAGCACCTTATCCACGGGCTCCCCCCGCCTCTCCTCCAGCTGCCAGCATGCTCCTCCCCCCATAACCCCATTACCCTTCTTACCTGTGTAAAGGCTTGGAAGAGACTCCCCTGAACGTCCTTGGAGATTCCAATGCCCGTGTCCGACAACGAGTACTTGAGCAGCACCTTATCCACGGGCTCCCCCCGCCTCTCCTCCAGCTGCCAGCATGCTCCTCCCCCCATAACCCCATTACCCTTCTTACCTGTGTAAAGGCTTGGAAGAGACTCCCCTGAACGTCCTTGGAGATTCCAATCCCCGTGTCCGACAACGAGTACTTGAGCAGCACCTTATCCACGGGCTCCCCCCGCCTCTCCTCCAGCTGCCAGCATGCTCCTCCCCCCATAACCCCATTACCCTTCTTACCTGTGTAAAGGCTTGGAAGAGACTCCCCTGAACGTCCTTGGAGATTCCAATGCCCGTGTCCGACAACGAGTACTTGAGCAGCACCTTATCCACGGGCTCCCCCCGCCTCTCCTCCAGCTGCCAGCATGCTCCTCCCCCCATAACCCCATTACCCTTCTTACCTGTGTAAAGGCTTGGAAGAGACTCCCCTGAACGTCCTTGGAGATTCCAATGCCCGTGTCCGACACCGAGTACTTGAGCAGCACCTTATCCACGGGCTCCCCCCGCCTCTCCTCCAGCTGCCAGCATGCTCCTCCCCCCATAACCCCATTACCCTTCTTACCTGTGTAAAGGCTTGGAAGAGACTCCCCTGAACGTCCTTGGAGATTCCAATGCCCGTGTCCGACAACGAGTACTTGAGCAGCACCTTATCCACGGGCTCCCCCCGCCTCTCCTCCAGCTGCCAGCATGCTCCTCCCCCCATAACCCCATTACCCTTCTTACCTGTGTAAAGGCTTGGAAGAGACTCCCCTGAACGTCCTTGGAGATTCCAATGCCCGTGTCCGACAACGAGTACTTGAGCAGCACCTTATCCACGGGCTCCCCCCGCCTCTCCTCCAGCTGCCAGCATGCTCCTCCCCCCATAACCCCATTACCCTTCTTACCTGTGTAAAGGCTTGGAAGAGACTCCCCTGAACGTCCTTGGAGATTCCAATGCCCGTGTCCGACAACGAGTACTTGAGCAGCACCTTATCCACGGGCTCCCCCCGCCTCTCCTCCAGCTGCATCTACAGCACACGCGAGCATGCCCCTCCCTCCCTCTTCCCCCCTCCCGTACTGTACCTGTGTGAACGCCTGGAACAAGCTCCCCTGCACGTCCTTGGAGATTCCGATTCCTGTGTCTGAGACTGAATACTTGAGAAGAACCTTATCCACAGGCTCGCCCCGCCTCTCCTCCAGCTGCAGCAGCGGCGCTAGGGATGAAAACGACTCGCGCCGCCGCCCGCCGCCGCTGCCGCCCGAGTCGGCGGGATCGACGGTGGAGATTCGCACGGTGACGCGGCCGCGGGCGGTGAACTTGATGGCATTGGATACGAGGTTGAGAAGAACCTGCCTCACCCTCACTGCGTCTGCTAGAATTTTTAGCGGCACGTCTCGACTCACGTGGGATTTGAGCTGTGGTGGGGGGTGAGGGAGGGAGGGAGGGAGGGAGGGAGGGAGGGAGGGAGGGAGGGAGGGAGGGAGGGAGGGAGGGAGGGAGGGAGGGAGGGAGGGAGGGAGGGAGGGAGGGAGGAGGGAAGGAGGGAGGGAGGGAGGGAGGGAGGGAGGGAGGGAGGGAGGGAGGGAGGGAGGGAGGGAGGGAGGGAGGGAGGGAGGGAGGGAGGGAGGGAGGGAGAGAGGGAGAGAGGAGGGGAGGGAGAGAGAACAAAACAAACAACGCAGTTGAGGTGAATGGGGGGGAGAAGTAAGGTTGAGAGGAGTGGGTGGAGTTTCGCACGGTGACGCGGCCGCGGGCGGTGAACTTGATGGCGTTGGATACGAGGTTGAGGAGTACTTGTCTCACCCTCACTGCATCGGCCAGGATTTTCAGGGGCACGTCACGACTCATGTGGGACTTGAGCTGCAAGGGAGAGGGCGGGAAGGAGGAAACAACGCAGTGAATGGGTGAATAGGGGGGAGGGAGAAGGTAGGTGCCCCGGGCGGTGAACTTGATGGCGTTGGAAACGAGGTTGAGAAGAACCTGCCTCACCCTCACTGCGTCTGCTAGGATTTCCAGGGGCACGTCCCTACTGACATGGGATTTGAGCTGTGATGGGAAGGCAAGGAGGGAGGGAAACAGTGAAGTGGATAGATGGCGGTGAACTTGATGGCATTGGAGACGAGGTTGAGAAGGACTTGTCGCACTCTCACTGCGTCCGCCAGGATCTTCAGGGGTACGCCCCGGCTCACGTGGGATGTGAGCTGTAGGGTGCGGGAGAGGGAGGGTGCAGAGGAGTAAATGGCGGATATGAGCTGGAATGAGGGAGAAGGGGGGCTGGGCGGTGAACTTGATGGCGTTGGATACGAGGTTGAGCAGGACTTGCCGCACCCTCACTGCGTCTGCTAGGATTTTTAGAGGCACGTCGCGACTCACATGGAATTTGAGCTGTGATGGGGTAGGGAGGGAGGAAAGGGGGAAGAGAGGGAATGGGGGAAGAGGGAGAGGGAACAAAACGATGCAGTTGAGCTGAGTCGGGGCAACACAGAGGGAGGTCGAGGTGAGTGGGTGGAGATTTGCGCGGTGACACGGCCGCAGGTGGTGAACCTGATGGTGCCTGGAGGGAAGGGGAGCGGGTAGTGAGCTGGAGAGAAGGCTGGCCTAGTGACACTTCAAGTCTAAGCCCATGCTCATAAGCTTCTCGCCCCTCTCACGTGCAGCTTCTCACCCCTCTCTCTCACCTGCAGCTTCTTGTCTCTGGCAGAAACTTCATACAGCGCCAGCGAGTGCGCGAGGTGCTCCCTCACTCATGTCAGATTGGCTTAGTGACACCTCAACACCAAGACCATGCTCATAACCTCAACGTTGAAGTCCCTAGCTTACATACACCTGCATCTTCCCATCCCTCACCCCTCCCTCTCACCTGCAGCTTCTTGTCTCTGGCAGAAACTTCATAGAGCGCCAGCGAGTGCGCGAGGTGCTCCCTCACTCATGTCAGATTGGCTTAGTGACACCTCAACACCAAGACCATGCTCATAACCTCAACGTTGAAGTCCCTAGCTTACATACACCTGCATCTTCCCATCCCTCACCCCTCCCTCTCACCTGCAGCTTCTTGTCTCTGGCAGAAACTTCATAGAGCGCCAGCGAGTGCGCGAGGTGCTCCCTCACTCATGTCAGATTGGCTTAGTGACACCTCAACACCAAGACCATGCTCATAACCTCAACGTTGAAGTCCCTAGCTTACATACACCTGCATCTTCCCATCCCTCACCCCTCCCTCTCACCTGCAGCTTCTTGTCTCTGGCAGAAACTTCATACAGCGCCAGCGAGTGCGCGAGACGCTCCCTCACGTCAAACTCCAGACCAAGCCAGAGCCAACCACTTCACTCTATGACAGTTTCAACACCCTAGCTCCCTCTCACCAGCACCTTCCCATCCCTCCCTCACCTGCAGCTTCTTGTCTCTGGCGGACACCTCATACAGCGCCAGCGAATGCGCGAGGTGCTCCCTCACGTCAAACTCTGCAAACTCCAGACCACTTTAAGAGGGACTCAACACTCTAGCTACCTCTCACCTGCAGCTTCTTATCCCTTGCAGACACTTCATAGAGAGCCAGCGAATGCGCGAGATGCTCCCTCACGTCAAACTCCGCAAACTCGAGCGCCATCCTCTCATTCTCAATCTTGCTCAGATCCAAAATATCCGACAGAATATGCAGCAGCCCCTGGCTGGACGACCGGATCGTGTTCACCAGCATCTGCTGCTCCTCCGACAAGGGCGTATCCAGTAGCAGCTCCGCGACCCCGATCACACCGTTCATCGGGGTGCGGATCTCGTGGCTCATATTCGCCAGGAACTGGGTCTTCGCGAGGCTCGCCTTCTCCGCTTCGAGTTTTGCGCGCTGCAAATCCGCCTCCTTCCGCTTCACCTCGGCTATGTCGTGCCACACCATGAGGTAGACATTTTCTCCGAAAAACTCCACCATGCGACACAGGACCTCTACCAGCACCTCCCCGCCCTCTTCGTCCCGGAAAACCCACTCGAACCGCCGCCACCGGTTCCCCGTGCCTCCCACCGAGTCTCCCGCCAGGCCTGGAGCGGCGTCTGCTGCTGCCGAGCCTCCCGCCGGGCCTCCTGCCGAGCCTCCTGCCGGGCCGGAGGCAGCAGCAGCAGCTGTGGCAGCAGCAGTAGCTGGAAACGGCGACGACGAAGCGGAGAGGCCCGGGTGGGGGTTTCCCGAGCCTGAGGATCCCGAGCCTGAAGATCGGTTGGAGGGCTGGTTGGAGGCAGCGAGGTGGGCGAGAATGGCTTTAAGAGCGGAGGCGGGTTGCTTGGTGGTGGGTTGTTGGAGGGGCGAGAGGCGCCAGGGCGTGCGACCGAGCAGAGACTCCTTGGTGGGGCACTTGAGGATCCGCACTGCCGCCTGGTTGCAGTCAAACACGCGCCCGTCCTTTGTTAGCAGCAGCTTGGGGTCCTGCAGGAGTGAGGGATAGGCGAGGACTTAGGAGTGGAAATCCGTTTTATAATGGGTGTTTGGCATGGGGATTTGCCGGCTGGTTGCAGTCAAACACCTGCGCACCCTTGGTTAGCAGCAGCTTCGGATCCTGCCGAGAGTGAGGGAGAGGCGAGGCATTACGGAATGGACGATTGCTTAAGACCAAGGAGTCTGGCATGGGCATTACGTTGCCTGGTTGGTTACAGTCAGAGACACGGTCGTCAAGCACACGTTGAGGATTAGGCCGCCTGTCTGGAGCAGCTTGCAGGTCACACCAGAGCAGAGCACCACCAAGCAACGTGAGAGCACTAGCGACACCAGCAAAAAAAACGAGAAGAGCAGTCACTGAGGAGGAGCACTCCAAGCCACATACACCCCCCAGAACAAACCGGTTTGCTGTAAAGGACGTGCAGTCATTGAGCGGGCAAAGATGGAGTGAGGAAAGCACCCACCGAGAAAGACCACGCGCACCAACCAACAAGACCAGATCAAAAGAGAGTTACTAAGAGCATGAAATGAAAGGACCATGTAGCGACATCAGAAAACGCACGGAGGAGAGCTCAAAGAGCATCTTGAACTTGAACTGGTTCTTGCGGCTCTCTGTGATGTCGTTCACCAGCCACTCCCACATGTCGGCCACATGAATTTCATACACCGTACGGGCGTGCACTGATGGGCGGAGAGTGAAGCACGTACCGAGGAGAGTGCCCAGCTACAGGCACCAGGACCAGGTACCAGCCACAGGGAGAACTCACGGAGGAGAGCTCAAAGAGCATCTTGAACTTGAACTGGTTCTTGCGGCTCTCAGTGATGTCGTTGACAAGCCACATATCGCCGAAACCCAGCGAGTATGACGTGGCATCCAGCAGCAGCTTCGACCCGTCCTTGCGCTGCAGGGGATGGGTAAGTAGGTATGGGGTGGGTACGGGGTAAGAGAGGGAAAGAGGCTGTTCTTGCGGCTCTCTGTGATGTCGTTGACCAGCCACATGTTGCCAAACCCCAGCGAGTAGGACGTGGCATCTAACAGCAGCTTCGACCCGTCCTTGCGCTGCAGGGGTGGACGGATGAGGGGTGGGTGGGTGTGGGGTAAGAGAAGGAGACAGGGGAAACAAGCTGTTCTTGCGGCTCTCAACCCCAACTCAGCCCTAGTACGCACCCGGATGAGCAGAGACAGAGAGTGGGACGAACCAAGATAGGGGGAGAAACAGAGAGAGAGAGAATGCAACCCTTGAGCCCCCTAACGAAGGCATCTAAGCGTCTAGGTAGGAAAGAATCTATAGTCTCAATAACCCCTGCAAGCATGTGTTGTACTCTGGCCTATATAAATGAAAGGACCATTCGAGAGTGGGACGAACCAAGATAGGGGGTTTACAGAGAGAGACAGAGAAAGGGGAACGCACCCGAATGGGCAGCACGATGTTGAACACGTTGTTCCGTGCCGCCCCCATCCTTGTCCCCCTAACCTAACCCAACCAAACCAAACCTAACCTAACCTAACCTAACCCAACCCAACCCAACCCAACCCCAAGTGCGCACCCGGATGGGCAGAACAGTATTGAACACGTTGTTCCGCGCCGCGCCCATCCTCCGCCCCTCATACTTCCTCTGCGCCTTGGCAGCATTCTCCCTTCCATACAGCGCGCGGAACCACTTCTCCACGCTGTCAATGTCCCCTCTATCTTCCTTCCTCCCTTCGTTCCTTCCTTCCTTTCCCTAAACCAACCCCAGAACGCACTTAGATGGACAGAGAGAGACAGGGAGAGGGACGCACCCGGATGGGCAGCACGGTGTTGAACACGTTGTTCCGCGCAGCGCCCATCCTTCTCCCCTCGTACTTCCTCTGCGCTTTCGCCGCATTCTCCCGCCCATACAGCGCCCGGAACCACTTCTCCACGCTGTCAATATCGCCCCGAGCGCACCCCAGCAGGTGGGCGGCGGTGGAGTTGATGAGCACCTCCTGCCGCCCGTCCAACGCTCTGGTCATCAGCACGGCGCCCCCCGGTAGATTCTCCACCATCATCTTATATTTCCACATGCTCTGCTCCTGTTCAGGAAGCAGTGAGAGGGCGAGGGAAAGAGAGATAGGGAGGAAAAGGGAGCGTGAGCAGGTGGGCGGCGGTGGAGTTGATGAGCACCTCCTGCCGGCCGTCCAGCGCCCCCCCGGTAGATTCTCCACCATCATCTTGTACTTCCACATGCTCTGTTCCTGTTAAGAAAGCAGTGAGAAGGGGGAGAGGGAGTGATTGAAGAATAGGGGCACGAGGGAGAGCTGTGCGGGTGAGAAGGAGGGAGGGGGTGAGAGAGGGGGTGGCTGAGAACGAGCGATAGAAAAACAGGGACGTGAGTGAGAGGGAACAACAGATTTTCCACCATCATCTTGTACTTGCACATGCTCTGCTCCTGTGAGGATGGGCGGGCAGGAGACGGGGTGAGAAACGGAAGGAGTGAGAGAGAGCAAGCGGTTCTCCACCATCATCTTGTACTTCCACATGCTCTGCTCCTGATGGGGGTGCGTGAGAGTGAGAGAACAAGTGATCGGAAGGAGGGAACGTGAGTGAGAGGGGGAACTATAAGCATTCTTGTTTGCACACCCCACACACATACCAGTGCCTTTCTGTCGCTGATATCCTCCAGGAGACACAGCACCTGCACTTCCCACCCACACCACACCATTGGTACACCACATACCCGTTATAAGCATACTTGTTTGCACACCCCACGCACATACCAGTGCCTTCCTGTCGCTGATATCCTCCAATAGACACAGCACCTGCACCTCCCTCACCTTCTCCTCCTCATCTCCCCCCTCCTCGCCCTCCCCCTCTCGCTCCTCTTTCCTTTCCTCTTTCCGCTCCTCCTTCCCGTCCTCCTCTTCCTGTGCCTTACGCTCCTCCTCTCGCTCCTCCTTCCCGTCCTCTCTCCTTTCCACCTCCTCCTCCTCGCCTGGTCTCTCAATAACCACACCCCTCCCTTCTCCTCTGTATCCATTCAAACCGCCATCCTCTATCCCTTCGTTCGCCAGCTCAGCTGCAGCAACCCCAGCTGCAGCCTCCCCAACTCTAGCATTTTCAGCTGCAACTTCCCCACCTACAGCCCCTTCTGCTACAGCCGCTTCTGCTACATCCTTTGCTGCTACAGCTCCTCCTTCCCCCTCACTTGCCCCTTGACCAATGGAACAGCGAGTGGGCTCGGTGTGAGGAGCAGCACTACCACCCTCCGCACTTGTACCATCTGTACTCGTGACCAGCAAGCCTGCTGCGCTGCTGTGAGTCGCATCACCCTCCGAACTCAGTGCGACCTGTGGTGACGGTGAGCCTGCTGCTCTGATACCATGTGATGGACCAACTTCTGCAATTGCGGCTCTGCGAGGCAAATCACCCTCCGAACTCGTCGCGACGACGGGTGGTGAGCCTGCTCTGATGCGGTGAGGCTCACCGTCACTATTCGGGTTTATAGAGCTGTGAGGCGTTGCGTGGTAACGGTGGGGCGCACCGCCCTCTGAACTAATGCGTTGCGGTGCTTTACTATCCGCTCTCGATTTGATGCCGTGGCATGTGAGCCGCACCCATCTGATCGCCCCATCTGCTGCTCTAACCCGCACTTCCTGCTGGGAGCGCTGCGCTAGGCCCGTGCACACAGCCGTGTAGTCGGACTGCGGGGGGAGAGACAAGGGAGGACGGGAAGAGCGCGAGAGAGGAAGTAGAGGGGCAAGAGGCAGAGAGAGGGAGAGATAGGCAGGGAGACGGAGAGAGAGGCAGGGAGGACAAGTCTGTAGCAATGAAATTACAGAGCACCCTTCCAAACCTCACACTTCCCTGTTGACTCAAAGGCCAACTCGGCAGGGCGGGGAGGCAAGGGCGGGGAGGCAAGGGCGGGGAGCACAAGGCTGCAGCAATAAAGTCACAGAGCACCGCCCTTCCATCTGCACACTTCCCTCGCATCCCGCCTTCCATTCCATCCGCACACTCCACTCACCACGAATGCACCGAGAGAAATCACCTCATCAACGAAATCACTCAGTACCCACCCCGCCTCGTTCCCGGAACTCCACCCCCCGACACTCCACCTCCCCCACTCCACTCACCACGAAAGCAGCACGCGAGGCTTCATCAACAAAATCGCTCAGCACCCGCCCCTCCACCTGCCATGCTGGCACTCCCCCCAGAGCCGCCCCATTGGCCGAGAATCTCCCCGCAAGCATCCTATTGGCCGCCGGGTTGCACAGGGTAACGCTCCCGTCCTCCCTCGTTAGAGTCACAGCCCCTATGCCTGCCAGGTCCAGTAGAGGCCTGCCCCTCTCCACAGCCTCCGTTGTAAGCACATCTTGATAAGAGGAAGCACTCTCCCACGCTAGAGAGCTTGTCGTAGGTGACTGTAACGAATTTCTTGTGATGAGGTGGGATGCGGAGAGATGGGGGGGTGGGGGCTGTGGGGAAAGATGGGAGGGAGTGGTGGGCGGTAAGGGGGAGTGAGGAGAGTGTGAGGAGAGAGGGAAGGGGGAGGAGAGAGGAGAGGGAGAGGAGGAGGATGAGTGGTGGGGACGTTGGGGAGTGAGGAGAGGGAGGGGGGACGTGGCTTGGGAAGGAGGTCTGGGGGACGATGGGGGGAGTGAATGAGAAGAGGATATGCCATGGGGGGATGATGAAGGGATATGCGAAGTGAGAGGGAGCGATGAGGACAGAGGGGAAGTGAGAGCGAGTGTAGGAGAGAGTGGGAGCGAGTGCTGTTGTGGCTGCTCATGCCGCTGCTGGTGGTGCTGCTGCTGATGCTGCTGCTGCTGTTGCTGCTGGTGTTGTTGCCGCTGGGTCACACCACGAGGGGAAGGAGGGCGACGGGGCGAAACAAGAGGCGGTTGGGACATGCTCTGCTGATGCTGCTGCTGCTGCCAGTGCGGCTGTTGTTGCTGCAGCGGCTGCAGCTGCAGGTGTTGCTGCTGATGCTGCATGTGATGCTGCTTCTGCTGCTGCTGATGGTGTTGCAGATTGTTTGAGAGGTGTGGGTGAGGGTGTGGGTTAGCATACGGGTGAGAGTGAGGATAGTTGTGGGGGTGCGGGTGGGGGTGGGGATGGAGGAAAAGATCTGGTGGAGGTTGGAGCGGCAGCACCTGAGCTTGACCATCAATTATGCCTGATGCCTGCACCTCCATTCCCATCCCTGCCTGTGCCTGTGCCTGGTGCTGCTGCTGCTGCTGCTGCTGCTGCGGCTGTCTTGACTGCTGCGAGTGGTGAACTGGCGTAGGTTGCTGTTGCTGTGGGGCCGGTTGCTGTTGCTGTGGGGCCGGTTGCTGTTGCGGTGATCTCGTGGGAATAAGCTGCCCGGATGAAGGGCGAGAAGAGGATACGGTGTAGGGAGAGGGCAAATGCACTGCAGAAGAGGCACAAATGCACAAAAGCACGGGAGGAACGGGGTTAGGTTGAATCGAAAGGCGCATTAGGGCTCAATCACTCACACACACACACACACACACACACACACACACACACACACACACAGAGGCGCGCGCACATACACACACACACATACACACACGCGCGCGCTAGCGCAAGCACACACGCGTTCGGGCGCGCGCACACACACACACACACACACACACACACAGACGCACACACACACAGAGACGCACACACACACAGAGACGCACACACACACACACACGCGCGCGCGCGCACACACACACACACACACGCGCACACGCACGCGTGCGCATACACACACACTCACTCACACACACACACACACACACACACACACACACGCCCGCTCACGCGCACACACGTACACACAAACACACACACACACACACGTGCGCGCATACACACACACTCACTCACTCACACACATACACACATACACACACACACACACACACACACACGCCCGCGCACGCGCACACACGTACACACAAACACACACACACACTCACTCACACACACACACACACACACACACACACACACACATACACACACACAGCTGTAGCAACGAGGTCCGATCAGCCTACGATGTGAAACAACTGCAAATCCACCACCGCATCCTAGCCTCTACCGCACACACATGTGAGCACATTCATGCATGCACGCCAAAGAAACTTGCGAAAACACGCGCGCGCACGCACATGCACGCACATCCAATCGCACCCACCTGTAGCAACGAGGTCAGAGCAGCCTCCTATGTGAAACAGCTGCACATCCACCACCGCATGCACATGCACCATCTCACAGCTTCCCCCCCTGCTGCTCATGCTCACCCCCCTGCTGTCTCCCCTGCTGCTCATACTTTGCCCCCTACTGTCCTCCCTGTTACTGCTGCTCGCACCCCTGCTGCCCCCCCTGCTGTTGTCTTCCCTATTGCTATCCCAGCTGCAATCCCTGCTACCACTAGCACCTGCAGCACCAGCACCATTGGCAGCACCAGCACCACCAACAGCACCAGCAGCGCTAGCAGCGCCGGCAGCATCCGAAGCAGAGTCACGAAGTGACAAGGAGTGAGGGTCTGAACGAACCGGCCCAACTGATCCAGTTGTCACGGACCGGCCTCTCAACGCCCCCGCTTCTTCCCCCTCTCCCTCCCCCTCTCCCTCCTCCACTCCCTCCTCCTCTCCCTCCTTGCTCACTCTCCTCTGCACGTCCACACCACTCGCGCTCCTGCGCCTCCTCTCCCCGTCTGCTCTCCATGGCCCGTCTCCTCGCTTCCACCCAGCACTCTTCCTGCCCCTGGAAGAACTGTCAGACTCAGACCCACCACTAGCTCTACCAGCAAATTTGGGCCCAGAACCTGACGCAGCACCATCAGCACCACCGCCAGCAGCAGCAGCAGCACGGCGAGGGGATGGAGGAGCCTTTACAGACCCAAAGGTGGTCCTCAGCATATGGCGGAGCCAGGATGCCTTGCCCTTGCCAGTCACACTGCCGCCTGCACTAGCAGCAGCACTGCCAGAACTAGCAGCAGCGGTAGAGCCAGCAGCAACAGAAGCAGCAGCACCAGCACCACTAGACCCCTTCCCATCACCAACAGCAGCAGCAGCACTAACGCCACCATCAGCAGCAGCAGCAGCAGCAGCAGCAGCAGCAGCAGCAGCAGCAGTAGCGTCACCAGCAGCAGCACCAGCAGCAGCAAGCTCAGCTTGATGCTGCGCCACAACCGCAGCGGCTACAGCAGCAGGATCAGACTTTTGAGGCGCCTCAAAAGTCGCCACAGCAGCAGGATCAGTAACATCCATGGACCCCGCTCTGCTGCTGCTCCTGCTGCGCCGCTTTCCCATCCAGCTCATTCTCACGCTGCCCCCTTCCTCTGCTGCCTGATCATCCTGCATACCTGCTGCTCCGCTCCCCAACCCCCCATGCCCCATTGCCCCAGCAGCAGAAGCACCAGCACCAGCAGCAGCGGCACCAGTAGCAGAAGCAGTAGAAGCAGTAGAAGCAGGAGCAGCAGGGGCAGCAGCGGCTTTAGCAGTGGCAGTGCCGCCACTCCAGCTGAGAGACACGGGCACGAGGGAACGAGGCACGTTGAAGCTGAAACTGCTCCTTGCACCCGCCGCCGCCGCCGCCGCTGCTGCTGCTGCTGAATCCTCCTCTTCCTCCTCCTCCTCGCCTCTCGCCCCGTTCCTGGCACCTCCTTCGTTCCCTTTCACCCTGTTGTCCTGCCCAGAAGGTATACCTGAGCCGCTTCTACGGATTCTTACAAGCTGCCCTGAAAGCGAAAGATTTCTTTCTGGGTTTGAGGAAATGTTTCCTTGAATCGTTTGGCTGTGGCTGGAGGGGAAGGCGAAAAGGGACGCGGGTGTCTCATGCACAGCCGAACCCTGGGCGGCTGAACCCTGTTGTTCACTCTGCTTGACCTTTCCCCCACCACCACCACTAACATCACCCTCTCTGTTGCTCCACCCACTCCCTCTCACACGCTCCCCAGTCGCCCTCCCCTCCTCCTCACTCCAGAACCCAGCCATCCCCGCTACAGGCAGCTCCATCTGCTCCATATTAACCGTCTCCACGCCCAGCTGCTCACTCGCGATAAGATTCCCCGACCCAGCGCCCCTGAACCCCGTGAAGCCACTGCCAATGCTGCTGCCTGTGTGACCGCTGCCTGTGTGACCGCTGCCCGTGTGACCGTGTGCCCGTGTAAGGGTGTTGCTACCTGTGAGGCTGGTGACAGGAAGGCGGCTGCTGGGGGGTTCACTGTCAGCACGGGTAAAGCTGGTGCGGCTACTCCCTATGCCGCTGCTGCTCCCTATGCCCCTGCTACTGCCGGTGCCGCTACTGACGGTGGTAACAATGGTGGGGGTGGTGGTAACCAGATTGGAGCTGGTGTTGACGCTGCGGTGAGGAGGATCCGCAGAAGGAGCAGTAGGAGCAGCAGGAGGGGGGGGCGCCGAAGGGAGAGTAATAGAAGAAGGAAGAGAAGGAGGAGGAGGAGGTTCCCAAGACGAGATGGTGGAAAACGGGGATAAGGGTATTGCATCGAAACGCCCCTCAATTTCCAAGCCAATTGGTCCACTTCTTCCTTCTCCATCACCACCACCACCACCACCGCCAAAACTACCACCTGCCCTTGCTCCTCCACTCCTCACTCCCCCCAACCCTCCTGCTCCCTCGCTTGTATCAAACCCCGTTATAAGCACATCACCGTCCCCCGCAAACCGGCCCATATCGGATCCAGACGCGGTCCTTTGCTTGCTGAACCGCCTCACGCCCTTCCCCTCCTCCCCTTCCGACTCAGACATTGCCGCAAGGGGGTCTAAAGTGTACGGCGAGGTGGACGGTGTGGGGCTGGAAACCCTAAAAGGAGAAGTTCCCCCGGAAAGTGTGAACGAGCCTCCAGGGGTGCCCGGATAGGAAGGCAGAACGATAAATTTCCCAGATTCGCCTCTTGAAATTCCATCTGCTTCCTCTAAATGCGCAGTAAGCGCAGATACAGCAGGGAAATGCGGATGCTGCTGCGAAACGCTTCCCCTTTCTGCAGAGACTCCCCATGCTGCTCCGCCCCCTCCGCCCCCTCCGCCACTTCCGCTCCCCCCGCCGAATGCGCCTTCCCCCGCACCTAAAAGCGCTGCCGCTGCAGCAGAAGCCGCGGCGGACGAGGCGGAAGCGGCGGAAGCGGCGGGTGCAGTGGCGGGGCACGTGAGGGTGAGCGGGAGCGCGGCGGAGCCGATTTGCGCGGTCTCTAGGCGCTGCACGACTGCGCGCCAGTCGCTGAGCGGGAAAGGCGCGGCCAGGCGGAGAAGAGACGTCTGGGGAAGGCGGAAGGGGGGATGAGAAGCGGAATGGGGAAAACGGGAGAGGAAGAAAAAAGAGGACGGAGGAGGGGGGAGGATGGGAGCTTCAGCTTTGGCTGTCTTTATAGAGGGCGAAGCGGGAAGTGGACAGTCGTTGCTGGGGGGCGAAATTGGAGAATTGGGGACGCGGGGACACGCGAAAGGGATAAGATGGAATTATTACTGGCTCATTCCGCAAAAACAAACAAACAATATTACCAGCCAAAAAAAAAAAAAAAAAAAAAAAAACGTTAGGGGTTTTCACACATCGAATGAAGGGTGGGAACAGCGCGATATATCATGCCGAATCATCTGAATCATGCCGAATCTGAACGCAAAGAGGTCGGATGATACTATCGTTAAAACAACTCTCAAACCCATGCTTACGCAGATCACCCGTGCTGTAAATGCGAGGACGGTGGCAAAAAAAAAAAAAAAAAAAAACAACAACAAATCCACTCCAACAACACAATAACACAACTACCAGACGAACGGAGGTGCAGACCCACCGATAGCAGCTCGTCGCGCGATTAGCCGAGCGTCTTGACCGCACCTTTAAGCGCGTGGATGGTGGCGTTATTTTTAAGGATTCTTACAAGCGACTCCAATATTCTCAAAAGTGCGAGACCCACCGATAACAGCTCGTCGCGCGAGTAGCCGAGCGTCTTGACCGCGCCTTTACTCGCGTGGATAATCGCGCCGTCGCCGGGCCGCAGCACGAACTGCACCGAGTGCGAATGGCCCACCACCACCCCCATCGTCGACATCCCGGCGACCTCTGAATCTCGACCCTTGTGGTTTGACAAAACACTCGGTGTCTCTACATGTTTCATGGTCGCCATTCCGACGACTGGATTCACTTGATTCATCTCCCCCGAGTCAATCAGAACCCTACTATTATTAAAACCATTCGCGCTAGTATCATTATTAGCCATAGAATCAGGCAGACTTTTATCTCCATTGACACTAATGGGTGTGACAGCAGCGCGAGGTGACGTGAAGGAGGGGATTCGTGGATAAGGCATGCCGCTGGGTCTATTCGAAGCGTCGTGGGACGAAAAGGTTGTCGGGGAGGCCGGCCGCTTGGCGCGCTGCTGTTGCTCCTCCTGCGACGGCTGCTGCTGAAATTGTTGGTTCTGCTGACACTGCTGCTTCTGTTGCTTTTCCTGTTGCTGCTGTGAGGTTTTCGTGCGGGAAAATATGCCGGTTGAGGGAGCCATGGCGACCCATTACGGCTCCAGTTCGTAGTAACGCTCTGACAAGGGAGGGTCACATGGAAGAAACTGCCTGAGGTTGAAACTCAGTGTAGATCTGTCATCAAACCCAAATGAATTGTTTGATCAACTGGTGACTGACAGACCAATACTCCGTCCTGAAGAGCACAAAATAATAGTAACTTGGATTGAGGATGACAGAGGTTGAGTGGCGGTGGCGGAAGGAACACGCCTGTGGTACTGTACAGTTCAATCCATGGAGGGAAGCAAGCAAACTGAATGAACACGACCAAGGTGCGCCGCTGACATGGAACGACGAGACGGACAACACGGAAAAATCGGATGCCCTAAATCGCTATGCAGGGGTGGTCGGTTTGGAAGGATGCACAAGACCTAACGGTTTGTATTCTGTGGCTGTTCTACAGTAACTAGACACTTCGAGTGAGTCCAATAGTCAAAGTATCTTCAAGGAATGGTCCTCCCTTGGGACTTTTGAGTGTCCGGCCATGGTGGCCTGACGAGGAAGCAAGCGGGGTGTGTTCCAAGACAAACTCGTCAGTCTGGGACATTCATCAGTCTGGTGGAGTGAAGCACAGGGGTGAGGCACAAGTACATGTGATGCTCGTTTGAGGAGACCACTGTTGCCTTACTCTTTGGGCGTTTAAAGGATTCTTGCATTTCGCAAGGCTTCGTCAATTCGCACCAAGCAAAAAAAGGGTTTATAAAATAATTGTAACTCCTTGTTGACAGTTTGACTTCGGTCTCTTCAGTTTGACTTCACTTTCTGTGGTTAGTATTGGTTCATAATCACGGCAACTTGCTCGGGGGCCTTATAAAGTAGGTGCAACTGGCTAGCGCAAAAAACTCGAGTGCGGACTTTCATCATGTCAAAGGTAAATTCGTGCACAGGGGTTGAGCATCATGTGTAATTTAATTTTCACAATTTAGTTGTCGTTAAAATCAGCGAAAGAGTACACCCGCGGATGGATACTGGTTGGGGAAACACTAGGTTAAGACTGCTCCGTACTCTACAGCTTAGAGCGTGTCTGAAGTGAATGTCGACATTCCTCGACGAAACTTTGAGGGATGTCGAGGAATCCTGACGGTTGGAACACTCGATCCGAGGGTTGACACTCACCAACATTCCTCGACGAAACTGTACGTTCGTCGACGTTTCACTTCAGACACGCCCTTAGTGTCAGCCGCGTAGAACTCTGGTGGACCGTGATTACGGTGTGGCCAAGATTTGCAAAAGCTTGTCAGACTCCAAAGATTGTACGGTTTGGGGTTTTCTACCAATGATTGCCCTGTAAAAGGGGTTTTTTTTTTATAATATAACATTTAACAAGTGTCACAAAGGCTGTGGTCCCTGTCTCATAAAGGCTCAGTTGCAGCACAGCAGGATCGCGGATCTCTCGTTGGCAGATCTCGGGGATTACGCCATCCCCCAACCGCTGACGAAGATCCCATCTGATCACGGCATTGGGGACGTCGCGAAACGTACAGTCACCTAATCGCTTCATTCGCGAAGGAAGGGTTTCTATGGGCGAGTTCAATACAGGGTCCTCCTTCACTTGGTTACCAACGTTCGTTGGATTTCTACTGCTTGAACGGAGTTGCGTTGCTACGTGTGAGCGGAAGGGTGCTGTCAAATCCAAAGCACAGAGCTTCAGTCCGTTCGCCGTACTGTAGTTACAATCACTGTCGCGTTTTCGCAACGATCTCAATTTTGCAGCGACCGCAATTTCGCAGCGATCGCTAGTTCGCAACAGTGTCACCCCACCGTTACAACACTCCAATATTTCCAGAGCTGCCACTACTATTATCCCCGCACCGCCATCAATATTGTCACCTGCACCATCATACCATCCTTACAACCGCCATCGTCTTTCACCGTCAACATGGTTTCGGCAAAAAGGCCGACGCCAGACGCACAGGAGTAAGTCTTATTTATTCGGCGCAATCCCTGTGCGACTCGAAAAGCTTTCGCTCGTTTCCGCCAATTCGTGATTGTGTCATTTCGTCGAACACAGAGTAATTCGTTTTTTTGTTCGTCAATCATTGAGTAATTTGGCAGACTTTCCTACTGTGAGTGTTGCTAGCGCGAGAGGGGCCGCTCTTTCTAACCGCCAACTTTTGAAGCGTCTTAAAAGTCTTTTTAATCACCAATTATCACCTGTTTCCCGTCCCACTGCTGTTGCGACGCGTCTGTCGTCCCGAATGACTCCATGTTTTTACCCTAAATGACGCCTTTTTCCCTTTGTGCCACCAATTTTCCTGAATCCTACCAATCATTTTCCCTAATGCCACCAATCTCCCCTAAATGCCACCGTTTTTGTGGCTGTCATTCCCACCCTTTCTCCCTGCAGAATGGTCTCCATATCACTAATAGACATCAGGAAAGAGTTACAGTGTCCCATATGCCTTGGTGAGAGCAACCTGTCAATCATGTCTGATTGTCATTTACAGATCAGCTTTTCTGCTGAAGCGTTGCCATGTGCTTCTCGCATGTTGAAGACAACCCTGTCCTGTCCTGTCCACCTTCGAAAAGTCATCCATATACGTCTAGTTTTCAAAATTATAGTTTTGAGGCGCCTCGAAACTGTCCACCTTCGAAAAGTCATTCATATACGTCTAGTTTTCAAGATAATTTAAGAGTATGCTCAGTTTCGGGGTTATCCCAAGCCAAGGTTGTGGCCTCTGCATGACACGTGGCGCTGACGTGGCGGTCTCCCATTGGCCGACAGGCATCATCAGGCGGACGCGCAGAGTCATGGAGTGCTTGCACCGCTTCTGTGGGGACTGCATCGACAAGGCCATCAGGCTCGGGTGAGGTTCGGAGGAGATTGACGGACATCAGGCTTGGGTGAGACGGACGTCAGGTTCGGGTGAGATGGACGCCAGGTTTGCATGAGAAGGTCATCAGGTTTGGGTGCAAAGGCCGTCAGGTTTGGGTGAGATGGACGTAAGGCTCGGGTGAGAAGGTCCCAGGCATCATCAGGCGGACGTGCACAGTCATGGAGTGCTTGCACCGCTTCTGTGGGGACTGTATCGACAAGGCCATCAGGCTCGGGTGAGGTTCGGAGGAGATTGACGGACATCAGGCTTGGGTGAGACGGACGTCAGGTTCGGGTGAGATGGACGCCAGGTTTGCATGAGAAGGTCATCAGGTTTGGGTGCAAAGGCCGTCAGGTTTGGGTGAGATGGACGTAAGGCTCGGGTGAGAAGGTCCCAGGCATCATCAGACGGACGTGCACAGTCATGGAGTGCTTGCACCGCTTCTGTGGGGACTGTATCGACAAGGCCATCAGGCTCGGGTGAGGTTCGGAGGAGATTGACGTACATCAGGCTTGGGTGAGACGGACGTCAGGTTCGGGTGAGATGGACGCCAGGTTTGCATGAGAAGGTCATCACGTTTGGGTGCAAAGGCCGTCAGGTTTGGGTGAGATGGACGTAAGGCTCGGGTGAGAAGGTCCCAGGCATCATCGGGCGGACGTGCACAGTCATGGAGTGCTTGCACCGCTTCTGTGGGGACTGCATCGACAAGGCCATGCAGCAACAACGAGTGCCCCTCGTGCCACGCTCGCTCAATGCGCCAGCAGGAGGTTGCTGCGTGGGCTGACTCGCTAATGTTGACAACTCCCGCTCCCCAACTCCCCCTTCCCCACCCATCCCCCCCCCCTCTCCCAACCAACTCCCCTCCACCCCCATGCAGCAACAACGAGTGCCCCTCGTGCCGAGCCCACTGCGCCAGCAGGCGGTCCCTCAGGGCTGACCCACTTTTGTTGACTTGAGACATGAATACTACCGTACCCCATCACTCTCCGCCCCTCCCATGCAGCAACAACGAGTGCCCCTCGTGCCGAGCCCACTGCGCCAGCAGGCGGTCCCTCAGGGCCGACCCACGCTTTGACGCGCTGGTGGCTGCTGTGTTCCCCAACAGAGACAGGATTGAGAAGGAGGTGAGAAGGAGAGGGAAACGCAGGTGAGGGGGAGGGAGGATCGAGAAGGAGGTGAGGGGGAGGACTGAGAAGCAGGTATCGAGGTGCAGGTGTGATGGCAGGAAGCAGACGGGCTCTGTGAGGGGGTAGCTGAGGGGTCTCAGCGGGCTGAGCTGAGGCGCGCTTTGACACACTTGTGGCTGCTGTGCTGTGTTCCCCAACCGGGACAGGATCGAGAAGGAGGTGAGGTGGAAAGGGGAGAGAAGTGGGGAAGGGGGGTTAAGGGAGGAGACTGCTTGCGGGCTGACCCGCGCTTTGACACACTCGTGGCTGCTGTGTTGTGTTTCCCAACCGGGAGGATGGTGGTTTTCCAACCAGCAGCGGACAGGATCGAGAAGGAGGTGAGTGAAGGGGGAGCGATAGAGAGTAGGATGGTGGGGTTGTGTTGTGTTGAGCAAGGTGAATGCAGTTTTGCGGGCTGATCCGCACTTTGATGCACATGCACTGGTGGGTGCTGAGGTGACTTTTGAGTCGACTCAAAAGTCACCTCGTTACAATGGCACACGACACATTCTCTGCAAGTTGAGCAAGCAAGGTGAAGGCAGTGATGCGGGCCGACCCGAACATTTGATCCACTGGTGGATGCTGTGTTGTATTGTAATATCTTGATTACAATAGGGTGTGTTGCAATAGGAACAGACAGTGTTGTGCTATCTTGATTAACAGCATAAATCGGCCGGAATGGTAAGTGTTTGCTTTCTCCTCACTTGCTCGTTCCTCTCTCTTTCTCCCTCCCGATTTTTGAGTCGACTCAAAAATCGACTCAAAAATCGAATCGGCTGGAATGGTAAGTGTTTGATCTCTCCTCACTCGCTCGTTTCTCTCTCTTTCTCCCTCCCTCATCTCACGTTGTTTGGGAAATGACAGTGCATACAGAAGAGGTCAGGCCCAATGAAGAGGCCAGCTTTCGAGTCAACTCAAAAGCCGCCTCTCTCCAAAACCTCTCGTCCTCTCTGCCTCGCTTGCTCGCTCCCGCTCCCTCTCTTGCTCTCCCGCTGTTCAGGAAATGACACTGCATACAGAGGAGGCCAGGCGCAATGAAGAGGCAAGCTTTCTCCCCTCAACCGTAGCCCATCATTCCCTCTCGTCCCATCCTCTTTCCCCCCCATCTTCCCTCCTCCCTACTGGATTGCCTCCCTTGTACTCTGCCTCGCCCTCTCCTGTGCCCTGTTCGTTCCTCTCCTCCCGTTCTTCACAACACTTCAGCTCACTATGATGACTCACGTGTTCCCTCATTGCGCAAACCCCCTTAAATAAACAGGTGACTTATGAGTCGACTAAGTGACTTTTGAGTCGACTCAAAAGTCTCCTTTCGATCTTCACAACACTTCAGCTCACTATGATGAAAAACGTATTTCCTCGTTGCACAAGCAAACCCCCTTAAATACTAAGAACGTAGAAATGGCACCAGCACCACACCACCACCACCACCACCACCACCACCACTCCCTGTCCTTTTTACATTGAACTACCATCCATGTCCTGGTACCTCCGCCTTTTTTACTCATAGTCGAAGGGCTGCAAAAGTTGTAAAGACGCTTAAGCAAAGGAAAAACAGTGAAAAACAAAAACCTGCAGACCTTGGACTATGAGTCAAATTGACCATCCATGTCCTGGTACCTCCGCCTTTCCCTCCCTGCTTTTCAGATTCAGAGGCGCATAAAGGAGATCTCTCGCCGCCAGGCACAAGTCTTCTGTGATGAATCAAAACGTGCCTTGTTCTATGCTGACTCAGAATCCCCCTTCCTCTGTGCCTTCCCAACTTCCGTCCCACTCTGCCCATCAGATTCAGAGGGGCATAAAGGAGATCTCTCGCCGCCAGGCACAAGTCTTCTGAGGCAACTCGAAGCGAGCACACTCTGTACATTCCCTCCCTCCCTCCCTCCCTCCCTCCCTCCCTCCCTCCCTCCCTCCCTCCCTCCCTCCCTCCCTCCCTCCCTCCCTCCCTCCCTCCCTCCCTCCCTCCCTCCCTCCCTCCCTCCCTCCCTCCCGCCCTCCCTCCCTCTCTGCCCATCAGTTCCAGAGGCGCATAAAGGAGATCTCTCGCCGCCAGGCACAAGTCTTCAACCGCCGTCGCCCCCTCTCCTCCTCCGCCTCTCTCTCCCTTGCTTCTCCTGATGCTGCTGATGCTACCACTGCTGCTGCTGCCAATGGTGCTGACGCTGGTGCTGCTACTACCAGTAGTGGTGAGGGCATGTATAATACCACCACCACCACCATGGCTGCTGCTGCTGCTGATACTGATACTGCTGCTGGTGCTGCTCGTGTTGGCACTGCTATCAAGAAAAGGACACGAGAAGAGTCAATGGTGGGAGGCACCAGTGGGAGTCAGGGCGTTGGCGGTAAAAGTGGTGTGGCTGTTGGCCAGAGGAGTGCCGAGAGGGGGAGAGTGAGTGTGGCGGGGAGTTGTAGAGAGGACGGGGAGGAGGGGGAGGAGGAGGAGGAGGAGGAGGAGGAGGAGGAGGAGGAGGAGGAGGAGGAGGAGGAGGAGGAGGAGGAGGGGGGGGAAGAAATCGGGGGAGGAGTGAAACACGAGGAAGAGTCAGTGGAAGGGGACGAGGTGGAGGAGGAGGAGGGAGGGAAAATGAAACAAGAATTAGAGGGGGAGGAGGAAACTTCTGAGCAAGAGGCGGATAAGGAGGAGAAGGAGGAGGTGGAGGATGGGGAGGTGGAGGAGGGGGAGGAGGGGATGGAGGAAGAGGAGGAAAAAGAGGGAGAGGATGAGGAGATGGAGGAGGAGGTGGTGGTGGTGGTCACTGCAGCAGTACAGAGAAAGCAGAAGCGGTCTGCAAAAGCAGGAGAGCACAGAGGGCAGAGAGGGCAGAAGAGGGTATTCGGAAATGAAAGAGAGGTGAAGGGAGAGGAAGGGGAGTCGAGCAAGGGAGCGGGGGGGAGTAGAGTCGGAAGGAAGAAGCTGCGTGAGGGGGAAGTAAGGGACGTTGGGGCGTGTTTTGAGTCGACTCAAAACACGAAGCTGCGTGAGGGGGAAGTGAGGGACATTGGGACGCAGCAGAAGTGGGGACAGCAGCAGCCATCATTAGCATCACACGGTCTTTCCATGCAGCTGCCCACAACATCTGAGCTGGCATCAGCCGTCCACGTGGCATCCGCACTGCAACCTGGCACCCAGGGCCAGGAAGGTGCACGAAGGGGCTTGCGGCTAGAGCAGATGCAGCCGAGGGCGATCCGCTGCCCCCGCGCTGCTCTGCTCGCACGAGCACTGGTGGTGGAGAGTCGATCCAATTCCATGCCGACAGGGGCACCCCAACGCTGTGGTGCTGATGCTGTGGGGCATGCACAGGCAGACGATGGGAGTGTGGCTGGTCGGGCTGATTCGGCTTGCCTGGATGGTATGAAAAGTCATTTTCTTCCTGGTGAAGAGAGTTATTACGGGAGGGTGGCTGGTCAAGAGAGTGTTCTTGAGCGGATGCTGAGGCTTGTGGGTGGTGGGTTCGGGGTTTTTGGGTCATTTGGAGGGCTGGTGCGAGGCAGAGGCAGCGGTATGATTGGGGAGGATAGAGGCATTCTGCAACAGCAACAGCAAGGGCCAGAGCAGGAGCAAGGCCAGGACGAGAATCAGCAACGGGGTAACGGTCAGCAGGAGCAGAAGCAGGGGCAGCAGGAGCAGGAAGGGCAACTGGGGGAGCAGTACTCAGATTTGGTGCATTTGCAGGTGGTGCTCCAGCAGCACGGAGAAAAGGCAGCGGCAAGAAGCTTGTTTCTTTGCTGCTCACCTGTGCTCCCTGTTGCTGAACTTATTGAGAGGGCCATCAGTGAGCCACATTAGTGTACTTTACCTGTTTCCCATATCTGTTTCTTCGCAGCTAAGGGCTTTAGAGTGAGTTGCAGTTAACCTTATGATTTTGCAGAATTTCTTTTGTAGAGCATTAGCTGGAGCCCCAGGGAGGGAGCAGTAGAAAACGTAGAAACTAGAAAGTTGAAATTCTCAAAGTTAGCGAACAACGGAATCATTGGAACAGAAACGAATGGGGTACAAATGAGCAACCCTAGAAGCTGTACCCCCTAGAGTGCAACTCACTATAGCCTATCATATCAATGTTCAACATTTGACACACCCCCATAGGCTAAGTGAGGGGCATCAAAGCAAGCAAGGTGAACAAACGGTCACAAGACCAGTCAAACCAAGAACCAAGGCAAGCTCAGGGTGGATCTCAAGGACACCACACAAATTCCGAGCGCAAGCAAGCGGCCACAAGGCCAGTTCAAGAGTTCACTAGGATATAAATACAAAGCACAACAAGCAGAGCAAGCAACAAGACTACACCAACCGAGGGCCTACCTCAACAAGCCCCAACTGCACACAGAACCTGTGGTGGTCACCAAGCGCCAAGGCCTTGGTGAAGACGTCTGCAGTGTTGGCCTCTGAGGCCACAAAGTCCAGGCGTGCCTGACCGCGTCGCTGCAGCTCTCGCAGGAGGAAGTACCTCACGTCAATATGCTTCACTCTGCTCTCCAGTCGAGGCTCTCGACACAGGAGGATCATGGCCTTGTTGTCAGCGTACAAGGTCGGTGCAGAGCGAGGCCGCTCACCAAGGTCAGCGAGCAAGAAGGTCAACCAGCGAAGCTCCTGTGCCGCCATGGCACCAGCGTAGATCTCTGCCTCTGCACTGGAAGTAGCCACAGACGACGACCGTGTAGACCTCCACGACACAGCACCAGCTCCCAGACTGAAGCAGTAACCCTGAGTCGAACGCTGAGTCTCCACGTCGTCAGCGTAGGAAGAGTCGCAGTGACCAGTCAACGCCACTAGCTGAGTCCCTCCAAGCACAAGCCCCAAGCCTGATGTAGTCGCCAGGTACTTCGCCACCCTCACAGCAGCTGTCCAGTGGACAGGGCGGTGTCTCCCAGTCGCAACAAAGCGAGAAAGGATGCTGAGTGGAAAGGCGAGGTCCGGTCGAGTACAAGTCATCAGGTACATGAGGCAGCCCACCAGCTCTGCGTAGGGTCCACTGGACTCAAAGGGCTCGTCAGGAAAGGGGCCCGTGAGTCTATGGTCAACAGCAAGAGGAGTGGGCTGTGTGGTGGAGAACTGGAAGTGGAACCGCCGAAGGACCTGCTGCACCATGTGTGACTGCGTCAGTGTGATGGTGCGAGCGGCTCTGTCCCGGGTGATCTGCAGGCCAAGGTAGCGCTGCAGCTCACCCAGGTCAGTGCACTTGTGTCTCTTCTGCAGTTCGGACTTCACCTGAGCCAGGGCTGCCCTGTCTGCTGTAGCAAACACCAAGTCGTCGACATAGACAAGGATAAAGAAAGGAGTAGAACCCGCTCGAACAAACAGCGACGGGTCGGCGGAGGACGGGCTGAACCCAAGGTCACGAAGCGTGGAGCGAAGAGTGTCGTGCCACTCACGGGGCGACTGGCGGAGACCGTAGACTGGTCGCCTCAGGCTCCACTGGGTCCCAGGTGGGAAGGTGTCAGTGAAGCCAGGAGGACGGCGCAGCCAGATCTCCTCGTGTAGTCGGCCCTGGAGGAACGCAGTGGAGAAGTCGAGGGAGTGCAGCTCGTAGTCTCGCTGCGCTGCTATGTGGAGTAACACCCGAAGAGTAGTCATCTTCGGGGTCGGGGCGAAGGTCTGGAAGAAGTCAACTCCCTCACGCTGACTGAAACCCCTAGCCACGTCGCCCAGGCGCCCGCCCCAGCCCGTCGCCCAGGCGCCCGCCCTAGCCCGTCGCCCAGGCGCCCGCCCTAGCCCGTCGCCCAGGCGCCCACCCCAGCCCGTCGCCCAGGCGCCCGCCCCAGCCCGTCGCCCAGGCGCCCGCCCTAGCCCGTCGCCCAGGCGCCCGCCCTAGCCCGTCGCCCAGGCCTGCGCCCTAGCCCGTCGCCCAGGCGCCCGTCCTAGCCCGTCGCCCAGGCCTGCGTCCTAGCCCGTCGCCCAGGCGCCCGTCCTAGCCCGTCGCCCAGGCGCCCGTCCTAGCCCGTCGCCCAGGCGCCCTCCCTGGCTCGTCACCCCAGCCCCGCAGGCAGCGCGCCACGCGGGTAGCGCGCCCCGCGGGTAGCGCGCCCCGCAGGAGGCGCGCCCCGCGGGTAGCGCGCCCCGCAGGCAGCACACCCTGCAGGCAGCGCGCCCCGGGGTGCTTTAGTGCCAGAAAATAAATAAATAAATTAAACCCTAAAAAAAAAAAAAAAAAAAAAAAAGGGGGTTCACAGTGGGGGCCTGCGACTGTCGCCCGCGTTCCTGCTTGCCGGACGACCTGCACAGTTGCCTACATCCCGCAGCCGTCAGTACTGCAGCCCCTACTGTCGCACGTACTTTCCACTGCCAGTGGCTCTACTAGCGGCAGCCGACAGCCGCACTTACGGTCTCTAGCCCCGGCCGTTCCTACCTCCAGCCAGCCCTAGCTCGCCGCTTCTAGCTCCAGCCGTTCTCGCTCCAGCCGTTCTCGCTCCTCGCTCGTAGCTCAGTTTGCTCCGTGCTCCGGCCGTTCCTCGCCTAGTTTCACCTGGCGCTTCTAGCTCAGTTTGCTCCGTGCTCCAGCCGTTCCTCGCCTAGTTTCACCTGGCGCTCCTAGCTTAGTTCGCTCCGTGCTCCAGCAGTTACTCGCCTGGTTTCACCTTGCGCTCCTAGTTGTTCTCGTTTTTCACAGCAGCCTGTCGCTCCTGTCGCTCCTAGCCTGCCGCTCCTGCACCCCGCTAGCTTTTATCATGGAGTCCGCTAGGGTTCTCCAGCAGCAGGGACAGCAGCAGCGGCCTTTTCAGCAGTGGCTTCCGCAGCGGCAGGGGCGCCCTCAGCAGCTGTGGCGCCCTCAGCAGCCATGGGGGCCTGGTGGTTCAGGTCGCGTTGGCTGCAGCAGCGGCCCAGCCAGCTGGGGGGCTCGTCGCGGTGGCCGCGACGTCGGCCCCTGCCAGTACCGGATCCTGACCGGCCCTGGTGCTGGCACTACCTGCTGGCGTCCTGACCACTCTGCACAGCGCTGCTACAGCCGCCTCGACGACCTTTACCGTGAGCGTTTTGGGCCTGAGTCGGCTCCCCCGATCTGGCCCGGTCTGTTTCGTAGTGGTTTCCCTGTGTTTGATATGTCTATGGATGCTGTTTATTCTGTCACGTACGGATCTCTTGGCTTACGTGTACCTAGCTTAGGACCTTTGCCTGTTGCTAGTGTTGGTACTTGTGCTTTTAGTGTAGGTGCTTGTGTAGTCACTAGCCCAGCCGTGACGACTGCTGTTGCGTCGCTCTCCTTCACGCTGGAATCCGGCGCGTCTCAGTGTTTCTTCCGCGACCACACCACTGTCACACCTCTTTCGGCTCCAGTCCCAGTTGCCCTGGCTGATCCTACTTCAGGACCAGCAGTTGCTCGTAGCTCGACCACCCTCCCGTGCCCGGCTGTCCCCTCTGGTTTCCTCACTGGTGTCTACATCCCCTCGTTCTCTCGGAACTTGGTGGGTGTTGGATACCTTCAGGACCGGGGGATCACAGTCACTTTTCCTGCGCACGGGAGGACTGCGATCTGTACGGACTCTTCCACCAGGGCAGTTCTTGCCACGTTCACCAGAGAGCCCCACTCAGGTCTCTTCGTCCTGCACACTCCGCCCCCGCAGGTAGCTGCGTCTGGTCAGGTTGCTTCGTCCCCCCCGATAGCAGAGTCCGGTCAGGTGGCTGTGTCCAGTCCGGTCGCTGTGTCCAGTCCAGTCGCTGCGTCTTGCTCCTGTCGCTCTCTCGCCCACCGCACCGTCCTGTGGCACCACCGTCTTGGCCACCCGTCGATCCCTCGCCTTCGTGGCATGCTCAGTCAGGGACTAGTCACAGGTCTCCCACGCACCTTCCCGTCGCTCCCTCCCTCGCTTGCCCCTCCTTGCTCTCCGTGCGTCGCCGGTCGCTTACGTGCCACTCCCCACTCCTCCTCCCTTCGTCCGGCCACCGCTCCCTTCGAGACTCTCCACTTGGACGTCTGGGGCCCTGCCCCGACGCAGGGGTCTGGGAGGGAGCGCTACTTTCTGGTGGTCGTCGACGACTTCTCCAGGTACACCACAGTGTTTCCTCTTGCGAAGAAGTCCGAGGTGACTGCTACGCTGATCAGGTGGCTTCTAGCCACTGAGGGCACTCGTGGTCGTCGAGTCAGTTGTCTTCACTCCGACCGTGGGGGCGAGTTTCGCTCCGGCATTCTCGGCGGATTCTGCGGCGAACAGGGCATCACCCAGTCCTGGACGCTGCCAGAGTCCCCACAGCAGAATGGGGTTGCTGAGCGCCGCATAGGCTTGGTCATGGACATCGCCCGCACGTCCATGATTCATGCCCGTGCGCCCCATTTTCTGTGGCCTCACGCGGTTCGCTACGCCGCACACCAGCTGAACCTCCAGCCGCGTGTCTCGCGGCCCGAGGCTTCACCGACCAGTCTCTGGACTGGATCCCCTGGTGTTGGGTCGGCCTTTCGAGTCTGGGGCTGCCTTGCACTTGTTCGCGACACCTCCGCGGACAAGCTCTCAGCACGCGCCGTCCCCTGTGTCTTCCTTGGTTTCCCAGTGGACTCTGCTGACTGGTCCTTTTACCACCCTCCCCTCCACCAGTTCCTAGTTCTCGGCTGCGGCTGCTGCTGCTGCTGCTGCTGCCGCTGCTGCTCCAGAAGGTCCAGCACCCGCAGCTCCTGCCGCTCCCTCTCCAACCGCTCCTGCTCCTCACGCTCACGCCGACGGGCAGCCTGGAGACGCGTGTCGTGGCGGTGGGGGGGCGGGGTGGACTCCGCAGAACCAGGGTCTCCAGCGTCAGTCTCCTCAGACTCAGCACCCCCAGAACCAGTACCGCCAGTGCTAGGACCTCCAACTCCAGCACCCCCAGATTTTTTTTTTTTTTTTTGGGCAAAGAGGGGATTCACTAAGGAATGTTTACAAGATATAGGATAGGGGAGAGGATAGGGTACACCACCAGCAGTTGAACCTAATAACTAACTAATACACTAGCAAGCTGTAGGCAGTTAGGATATGCAATATAATTCAACACACCCCCGTAACTGCCTACGGCTATAGCTAGTGGTGTCTGGCACCAGGTCGCCTGGAGAGCGGTTGCTGTAGCTAGGATAGGCACAGAAACAGCGGTGGCTGAGCGGCAGCACCTGTGAACGCCAGAACGGAGGAGGGCGCGGAGAGCGCGGAGGAGGGCTGGGATAGCCGGAGGGCGAAGGATGCTGGTCGCTCGCCATCTACGAGCAAACACAACTGTTGGTGAGGAGGAGGAAGCTGGTGGTGGTGCACAGGAGGAGAGCAGAGGAGATGCGGCTGGAGAGGAGAGAGGAGGAGGAGATGCGGCTATAGGAGAGGAGACTGGAGGAGGAGATGCGGCAGAAGGAGAGGAGAGGAGAGAGGAGGAGATGCGGCTGGAGGAGAAGAGGAGAGGAGAGGAGAGGAGAGGAGAAGAGGAGGAGGAGAGGAGAGGAGAGGAGAGGAGAGGAGGTGGCTGGCGCGGCAGAAGCTTTCCCGCCACCCCCTCATCCCCCTCCCCCCCATGCGCTGGCGCTGGCGGAAGTGCTGGCGCTGGGCGCTGGCGTCGCGCTGGCGCTGGCGCCCGCCGTTGGCGCTTGCGCTAGCGCCCGCCGTCGGCGCTGGCGTCCGCGCTGGCGCTTGCGACCGCCGTTGGCGCTGGCGGTGGCGCCCGCCGTTGGCGCTGGCGCTGGCGCCCGCCGTTGGCGCTTGCGCTGGCGCCCGCCGTCGCCTCGCTGGCACGCTCGCCACTGGCAGAGCGCGACGGGGCAGGCGAAAGGGGGCAGCGCGACGGGTGCTGCAAAAGCAGCGGAGTTCGAGCCAGCAGCGGATTTCGCGCTACTAGCAGTAGCAGCCATGCCAGCAGCACAATAAGTCGCCATGGCAGATCGCGGGTTTGGTGGGCCCATGAAAACGAGGTCCTAGGAGGGACCACGCTCTGATACCATCTCAAAGTTAGCGAACAACGGAATCATTGGAATAGAAACGAATGGGGTACAAATGAGCAACCCTAGAAGCTGTACCCCCTAGAGTGCAACTCACTATAGCCTATCATATCAATGTTCAACATTTGACAGAAATCTGGTGTGTAATAAAATATTGCATTAGCCAAATCAAAAATTCCACCCCTGCGGGTTATCACAAGGATGAAATCGGGGAGTTTTTGCAAGCGCGCGGCGCGGCATTCCCGATTCCACATTTGCCAACATTCGGTTTTCGTGCTCAGGTCTTATCTCACGGCTCACCACCACTTTACATTCCAATCGCACGGCTCGGAGGAACCTTATGATGGGAGCAGTCACTTCAAGGATGTGCCTCTCGGATCAACCAACCCCGGAATCCTCGATTGTCAAAATGGATTATTCATTGGGGGGTGACACTCAACACTTCAGACCGATTTCATTACGGTCAAAATTGGTGGAGAAATCAAACCATTTGTTACCGTGTTAGAACCCACAGAACCAGGCTTGTTGTTCAAAGGCGAAGGCCCAAAACAACCTAGAGATCCTATTTTTTGGTTCAGAAATTGCTTGTTTCGTTCATTCGCAGCGAGATGCTTCTGGTTTCCAAGTTCCTGAGTTGCAATTGCTCTGCCTAATTCTCTGCTGCGACAGTGTGAACGCTGGAGTAAGGCTCGACCTCGAATTTAAAACCGGAGTCTCAAGTATCCCGAAGTTGCCTCATCCTTCCTACCTTTGGTTGGGTCACTAAGTCCAACCAACCTTCCTACCTTTGAAACCTGTGGACCCTGGGTTTTAACGACGGCCCAACTCCCTGGAATATTTTCAGGAGAACGGGATTTGCACTGTCTTTTGTTACAAGACTGACAAACTCATTCTGTCTCGGAATCTGAGGCTGCTTATCTCATCGTCCGCATCATGACAGTCAAATCCGCCACTTCCATCTCTCCGACGCTACTCCCCTCGTCGCTGAACGAAGACTCTTCGGAATCCATGAGCATTCAGCTAGCGGCGTGGTTCCTGGACCCCATTTGGACGGACGAAGCACCTGACATGACGGTCACAGTCGGCCCAAACGCGCTCTGCCAGCTAGACGGCACCGCAACCGTCGCGTTTCCTCCCGACGCCGTCTTCAGCCTCGTGTGCGACCCCTACAATCGCCGCGTGTTTAAGAATATCAAATCGGTGCGGAACCACCACGTCGTGCGTGACTGTAACGGGGTGAAGGAGGTCGAGATGGACATGGTGTTTTCGTTTCAGCTGCCGTTTTTTACTGGCACGTTCGAGGCGCACATGCGCATGGTCCAGGACAGACCTAACCGCACCATGACCTTCGCCCTGACTCGTCCTGGCTTTATGCGGAAATTCGAAGGGTCCTGGAAAGTCGAGCCTCTGCTTGTTCCTGCATCCGAGTCGTCTGCTGCATCGTTACAGCATGATGCTACATCGTTACCAGATGATTCCAACTTCTGCCGTTGTGAGTCTACAGAATCAAGCGATGGCAGTAGCACCAGCCGCGACGGAGGCAGCATCAGCAGCGACGAATCCGATGAAGCGCCAGACATGAAGACGGATACAGACAGATTCCGTCTGGCTTCCCGTCTGGTGCTCTGCCAAATAGTCCAGCCGTCAGTGGCGCCACCAGCCATTTTCAAGCGGTGTCTTCACAGCTTGTTGCAGCTGGCCACGAGGGACGTGCTTCTGGTCTTCCAGCAGGAGGCTGCTCGTTTGAGAGCAGCGCGAGGGGACCAGGTGAGGGCGGACGCGGAGAAGACGGGAGTTATGTCATTAACGTCAAGAATGAGGGGTTTATTGAGTGTTAAGGCTTGAAATATAGCTTGAGCTATTGCTGCTGCTGCTACTGCTGCAAAGAAATGATGACTGAATTGTGTGTCAATTCTAAGCAGTGTGTTACTTATAACTCTTGATTCAACGTGTAGAAACATTATTCCAACGTTGGAGAAAGGCCTGAAACACGTATAAGTGTTCTGCATTCTAGACCCTTCCCCATCTCAGCACAGCAGTTCAAAGTATCCAAGCCTAAATGTAAATTTAATCTCAGTAACCACACCGTTCAAGCATCAAATCCTAACGACCAGCCACCACAGGGCAGTCTGCCGCCCTGTGCCCAGGTTGCTTGCACAAGAAGCAAACCCCCGAAAACGCTCCACCTCCTGCTCCTCCACCCCCGCGACCATACGACGATCCATACTCCCCACCACTCCTGCTGGGAGCGCTGCGCGTGCGCTCTAAGGGGGATGGGGTGTAGTACCCGTCGCTGTCCTCGCTCTCCCATGCGTCAGAGGTGAAGTTGCGGCGGTTAACCAAACCTCCGCCAGCCGGGCGGCGATCCCGAGAGGAGAATCGGTCACGATCGCCACCGAACCTGCTGCCTCCGCCGCTGCTGCTGCCGCTGCTGCGCCTGTCACCCACATCGCCCCAGCTCCCAGACCTGGGCGGGAGGAGCGAGGACAAGCGGGAAACAGCAAAGAGACCAGAACAATAAACAACCTATCATCATTTGGCCCTTGTGGGGGCAATGGCAAAAAGGACAAATATTTTCCCAGTACATCATATCTCAATAATCGCATCCCAATGCCATTCCCGATCTATCTGTACCATTTCACCCATTCCATTCCATGCCATTCCATGCCATGCCATGCCATACTGCACCATCCCACAGAAAACCACGCTTCTCTATCATACTATCAACACACTGCAGTTCCACCGCTCACCTCTCTTTCCTGCCACCGTCATCGCGCCTGAACCCCCTGTCACGGTCCCCTCCCCTTCGCCCCCCCCTGTCCCCACCACGGGAGAACCTGTCCCCTCCGCCCCTGCCCCTGTCCCCTCCCCTCGCTCCGAACCGTCCGTAGTTGTCCCTGTCCCTGCCGCCGCCACGCACATCATCATCCACTAGCGTGGGCAGCTGAGGGGCAGAGGGCACGTGGAAGAAATGGGGGCACATGGGATGCATGGGTAAGGCACACAGCACAGCACAGGGGGTAAAGAACAGAAACATAAGCGCAGGCGCCCCCTCCCCTCGCTCCGAACCGGGCGTAGTTATCCCTGTCGCTGCCGCTACAAACATCATCACCCACTAGCGTGGGAAGCAGAGGTGAGGACGCACACACCTTACTTTTCAACATAAGTATCTAGCATGAATTATCCAACATAATTCATCTAACGTAAATTCTTTTCAAAAGGCAGCAGAACCAGACACGCACCAGTGCCGTCCCCCCACACACGCACCTGGCGCGGGATGTAAAAAACGTGCCCGTTCTCAATCTGGAGGCTCAAACACCAACAACAACTGATGCGCAAACAAAAGTACAAGGCAAAGACAGTGCCGTCTGAGCCAACTGAGGCTCAAACACCCACCAGTGCCGTCCCCCCGCGCACGCACCTGGCGCGGGATGTCAAAGACGTCCCCGTTCTCAACCTTGAGACTCAGCAGCTCCTTGGCCACGTCCTCTGGCAGGTCAAACACTGCACCCTCCACCTGAAGGTTCAAAAGAGAAAGAGGGGGTGGTGAGACCAGCAAGACCAAGACCTACCCCCCTCAATGCGTGAGACCAACAAAGAGGCTTAGCGGCTGCTCCCCCAACGACCTTTGAGGCGCCTCAAAAGGCTCCTTTCCCCACGTTGCCAGCCTCTCCCCCCCTCCCCCCCATCTTCCCCGATGTGCCCATCTTCCCCATCTCCCCAAGAGTGCCCATGACCGCCCGCGGGGAGACCAGCGGGCCGTTGCGGCTCTTGGCCGTGCGAGTCACGCGCACCGTCACATACCCCTCCTCGTGCGTCAACACCTTCACATACCCCCTCCCCGCCCACACACTAGCCATCCATCCCCATCCCCCAGTCCCCCTAAACCCCCACACGCCCACTCACATCTCGCTCCCCCAGAATCTTGATCTTCCCCACGTTGTCAGCAGCGCGGCGGCAGATCTCCCCAAGAGTGCCCATGACCGCCCGCGGGGAAATCAGCGGGCCGTTGCGGCTCTTGGCCGTGCGAATCACGCGCACCGTCACATACCCCTCCTCGTGAGTCAGCAGCGACCGGGCGGCGGGCGGCTGGCTGAACCCGCTCAGGTGGGCGATCGCGGCAGCTAGTGCCATCGGGCCGCGCTCCTCGAGAAGCTTCTCGGCAGTTTCCAGGAAAGACTCGGCAAGTTCCGGGTGAACGCGGGAGATGAGGGCAGCGGATTGGTTGGCGGAGGCTTGGAGGACGTCGTCCGGGTGGGGAGGGGATGCCTTCTCAAACTTGCAGCCGATATCCCGCTCGATCATGCGCAGGGAACGGATCTGGGGAAAGGAGAAGGGAGGGAGAGAGAGGAAGAGGAGAAAATTTTGTTCAATTTAAGCTTCAGAGTCATGGGCCAAGCTCGAACAAAGGGGGTGCAGGGAGAGGAGGATGGGAGGGAGAGGAGGATGGGAGGGAGGGAAGGACTCGGCGAGCTCCGGGTGGACGCGGGAGATGAGGGCGGCTGACTGGTTGTCCGAGGCTTGGAGCACGTCGTCCGGGTGGGGCGGGAAGGCCTTTTCAAACTTGCAGCCAATGTCCCGCTCTATCATGCGCAGGGAACGGAGGGGGGGGGGGGGGGGGGGGGGGGGGGGGGGGTGGGGGAGGAGTGGGGGGGGGGGGTGGGGGGGGGGGGAGGGAGGCACGCGGCGTCACAGGGGATGAGGGGAAAGGGGCGGATATAGCTCAGGGTGGACCCGGTAGATAAGGGCGACTGGTTGGCGGAGGCTTGCAGGCCATCATCTGGGTGGGCCTGGGAGGCCTTTTCAAGCTTGCAGCCAATCATCCGTTAGTGTAATGCACCTGCAAGTCGGTGTACACATGAGGATGGCCCCAACACCTTCACAAGCATATGCCATAGTCACACCCGTTAGTGCAACACACCTGCGAGTCGGTGTACATGAGAATGGTGCATCCGGTCTTGCCAGCTCCGCCCAGATGATGGATCAAGGCCTTACACGGTGGTCACATGCTTGAGTCACTTTCTTCACACGCACACCATCAATCACAAATACACACCTGCGAGTCCGTGTACATGAGGATGGTGCATCCCGTCTTGCCAGCTCGCCCCGTTCGCCCCGACCGATGCACAAACGTCTCAGGGTCGTTGGGGATCTCGTAGTGAATCACCTGAGGGGGGGAAGAGGGGGGTAAGGGGAAGAGGAAGACGAGAGTAGGGGGGGCGAGAGAGGAGGCGGAGGAGGAGGGGTGTGAGCAGCCGATGCACAAACGTCCCAGGGTCGTTGGGGATCTCGTAGTGAATCACCTGAAGGAGGGGGAGGTGGGGAAGAAGGGGGATGGAGAGTAGAGGCGAATAAGGGGAGTGAGTGAGTGATCGATGCACAAACGTCCCAGGGTCGTTGGGGATCTTGTAGTGGATCACCTGGCAGGGAAAGAAGCCAAGGGGGAAAGAACGGGTGTTGGAACGTGGGTGGGGGGAGTGAGTGTGAGTACGTGGTCAGTTGACCGATGCACAGTGGTTCAGGGTCGTTGGAAATCTCATAGCAGGAAACACGGGCACGGGGGAAGGTAGGGCAGGGGGGAGGAGGGGGCGGGAGGACCGGAATGATTACAATTTCAAGCCGCATACACTTATGTGCTTTATTTTTCACAAGGAGATATGTTTTCATGAATAAGTTATTTTCAGAGTATCACCTCCTGCTTTTAAGCACGTCAACCGTGGTTCCTCTAGGGACTTTTACGGTTCATAAACAAACACTGTCTTTTTCAGGTTATAAAACCGCCCACACTCACACCAGGTCAACGTTAGGAATATCGAGCCCTCTAGCTGCCAGCCACGCCTGTGGAAAACAAGCACGACAGCGGCCGTCCCTGAACGCCTGAAGCGTCCGTCAGGCTCCCTCTGCTGCTCCCTCTCCTGAGACAGCTCCCAAACTCACCAGATCAACGTTGGGGATGTCAAGCCCCCTGGCAGCCGCATCAGTCGCCACGAGCACCACGAATCGCCCGTCCCTGAAGGCCTGCAGAGTCCGCTCCCTCTGCTGCTGGGGGATGTCCCCGTGAAGAGCCTCACAGCCCACCCACCGACCCAGCGCATTCCCCCCATTCCCCCCAACCCCCCCCCATTCCCCCCTTCAACTCACCAGGTCGACGTTGGGGATATCGAGCCCTCTGGCAGCCACATCAGTCGCCACAAGCACCACGAATCGCCCGTCCCTGAACGCCTGCAGGGTGCGCTCCCTCTGCTGCTGGGGGATGTCCCCGTGAAGAGCCTCACAGCCCACGGAGCGACCCAGCGCCATGGCCACCTCGTCCGCATCCTTCTTGGTCTGCGTGAACACTATCGTCTTGCCTCCCAAGGCATGGACCTATAGGAATCACAGACGTGGGTAGGGGAAACAAAAGAGGGTGGGCGTTGAGGGGAGGGGTCAGGTCAGTCAGGGTCATCCCCAGCGACATTGCGGCCTGTGTGAACTGAAGGAGGGAGGTCCTCCCTGGTCTGTCTGTGCTTTTTGAGGGCCACAAAAATCACCTCACTATGGGCGGGGGGGGTTCAGGTCAGGGTCATCCCTAGCGGCATCGCGACCTGTGTGAAGGAGCGAGGTCCTCCAACTCACAAGTCTGTCTGTGTGGAGACAAACGGTCGGTCTTACTACGGCCTATGGGATGTAACGCCCAACGGTCCGTATACGCAACGGATTCTACCAGATTCGAAGAAGGAAGAGGGGGAGAAGGGGAGAAGTCTTGGCGTGACTTGACCACGGCCATGTAACGTTGACCTCGTCCGTCCAAACGGGGCAGCACAGGAGATAAGAGGTTTGTTCAAAGACGTCTCATAACAAACCTCTTATCACGAGGGGGAGAAGGGGAGACAGATTTGCGGACTTGACAACGGCCAGGTTGCCCTCGTCCAAACAGGGCAGCACAGGAGACCCACGCCGTGTGCAGTGCAGTCTCATTTCTCGCTTCGCACCCACCCGTCACTGACAGACTATTAGAGCGTACCGTGATGAGGTCGACGAGGATGGTGCGCTTGGATGCGTTGGGCGCGCGCACACACAGCAGGCGAATACCCTCCGCGAGCTTCTCCTCCTTCTCGCCCACCTGCCCGCATGCGGAGTAAGGGATAGATGCACGGGAGGGGAAATGGAGCAAGGAAGGGAGCGGGGTAAGGGGAAGCGGTGGTGAGGCGCGGAGTAAGGGCACGTTGTTGGTCCGTTTCGCTCAGCACCAGGAGCTAGCTGGTAAGGTAAGGAGCAAGGTAAGTCGGGATCACGCGTCCGCCTCGCTCAGCACCAGCAGCTGGGATCCGATTTTTGAGTCGACTCAAAAATCGACTCGCTCAGCACCAGCAGCTGGGATACTGAGCTCACCAGGTCGATGGTGAGCAGGCTGGTGAAGTAGTCGCGGCTGAGCTTCTTGACCCACGAGGGCATGGTGGCGGGAAGAGGCTCATCTAAATGCTCCACCACTCACGACCCCCACCAAGGGAACCGCAACCCCTCCCACAACCCCTCCCACCGCACAGCACACAGGGATAGGACAACTCACCAAATCGATGGTGAGCGGGCTGGTGAGGTATTTCCGGCTGAGCTTCTTCACCCATGAGGGCATCGTAGCCGAGAACAGGCTCATCTGGATCCTCTCCCCCTCGGGCAGATTCTCCATGATCCGCTCCACGTCCTCCTCGAATCCAACGGCCAGCATCTGATCCGCTTCGTCCAGCACCATGAACTGAATCTCCCGCAGGCTGAGCGTTCCGCGCTCGATCAGATCGATCAGGCGCCCGGGCGTGCCCACGACCACGTCGACGCCGCGCTTGAGCTGGCGCATTTGCCCGTCGATCGAGACTCCGCCGTACACGCACGCGGTGGATAGGTTGGGCGCGGACTCGCAGAACTCGCGCTCGACCTGCTTCGCTAGCTCGCGCGTCGGCGCGAGGACCAGGCAGCGGGGCGCGCGGAACGGGCGCCTGCGGGCGGGAAAAGGGGGGGAGGGCGGGGAGGGAGGCGGGAGAAGGTACCGCAGGTTGGTGGGAGGTTTGAGAGAGAAGCGGAGGGAGGATGGTCATCGTCTTAATTCGGGTTCATTCATAGCTCAACGACTGATTCATTGTTGCAAAAGCTCTCACGCGTTCGCTTCCTCTTCGTTTACTCAAGAGCTCCGAATAAAAAATCAGCTTGCAGTCTGATAACAGACGGAATCAAAATGCAGTTTCAACCTCAGCGTTCAGTCGCGTCAAACTCATTGTTCACTATACCCGTAAGCCGCCTTGGAAGGAAAACAGCCATCCTCGAACAACAACGATTTCAAAAAAAACAAACAAACAAACAAAAAAACAAAAAAAACCTCACAGCGCCTAAAGACATCTCAAAACAGGACCTGTCGCCTCTAGACGTCCATATAAAGCACATCAAGACAACCTAACAACTGAAGCGCATCACGACACGCACCTGCCGTTGTTCTCCTCGATCTCCCTCGTGATGCGCTCCAGGATGGGGATGCCGAACGCGAGCGTCTTCCCCGTGCCCGTCTTGGCGCGCGCGATGATGTCGCGCCCCTCCATCGACGGCGCCAGCACCGCGTGCTGGGAAAGGGGGAGAGAGAGGAGGTGGGAGAGGGATGGGGCAACATGGAAAGTTGAAGGTCAGATATAACCGAACCCGCGCGATGATGTCACGCCCCTCCATCGACGGCGCCAGCACCGCCTGCTGTAATTGGCGGAGCACAGGGGGTGGGGGGAGGGGAGGGGAGGGGAGGGGGAGGGAAGGGAGGGGGGGTGGAGAAAGGGGGATGAGGAGAGGTACATGTTAGATTCAAATGGACAAACGCGTGTCGCGCCCTCCCTCCACGGCGCCAGCACCGCGCGCTGCGATTGGCGGAGCACAAGGGCAAAAGGGGGGGAGGGGGGTTGGGGGTTGGAAGGAGATGAGGGGAGTTAGTATCAAGCGCACTGTCGAGCACCGCGACAGGAGCCACGAAAAAGTACGGACAGCACACTATCAGCCACCAGCTTATCCTCAAAATTTCCAAACCCTCACAGTCGCAACTGGAAGAAAAGCAGACAAGCAACGGGTATAGTAACAAAAATGCAACAATCCAACCTGAGACCGGAAACCTGGACCAAGATAAATATTTGACTCCCTTCAAACGATCTTGATACCCTGCCTCATACCTGGATGGGGAAGAGCCGGGCGATTCCTCGCTTCAGCAGCGACTGCTCAAGAACCGTCGCGAGGCCGAGGCTTTCAATCGCCAGCTCATCCCTGTCCACGTCAGGATCGGACACGTCAACCAGCACCACCTCCCCCTCCTCGTCGCTGCTCGCTTCATCGTCGCTATCAAAAACCTCCGCTTCCGAATCGGATGTTAAACCCCGGGGAAACTCCCGCCCAACCCCTGAACCCGCAGATGCTCCGCCGGCAGCGGCAGACAGTCCGCTCTTGGCACGCGCCTCGTACAGAGCCTCGAGCGCGCGTGAACCAGAGCCACCGGATTCGGAATCGGACGATGAGGATTCAGATGACTCGTCAAGTGTATACTCCGACGTCGGCAACACTGCGCCCTGGCGGACGGCGGGAGTTGCGCCGGCGACCGCGGAGCGGGGGGCGGAGGCGGAACCGATAGGGCTTGCGCTCGCGGCGGAGTCGGAAGAAGACGCATGCGCGGAAAAGGTAGACGCGAGACGCGATGCAGCTCCGCCTGGATGCGATGATGGCAACAGCGAGTTCCGAGAGAGACCGCCAGAGAAGAAAGATGAACTAGAGAAGGGACTTGCCCGTCCCGATTGGCTTCTGAAAGTCGACGACCATTGCAGGCAGGTGAAAGATCCGGGAGCGTGAGCGCCGTGAGTAACTGCGTTGTTTGCGGCCAGCAGGGCTGCCTGAGTGGCTTCTATGGAAGTGGCGGCGCGGGAAAGGCCCCGTGATGCGACGGACGCTCCCCGTGAAGCGATCGCCGTCGTGGTCGCAGCGGATGAGGCGACTGCCATCGCTGCGCGGCTGCGACGGTGGAGGAGAATTAATTGGCGTGAAGCCACGGTGAAACTTTCAGAAAAGGGTTTCAGCACAGCCTCTTTGCGAAGCCCGACTGACGACTTTCAGAGTGTTGAAACGGCGGCAGATGTCGAGAAGCACACAGCCACTCCTTTACTCAAGCAACCTAATCCTTTCACTGTTACCACGTAAGGTAAGCTCCGGGGTGCGGAGCACAAGGACGAAGCTTGAGCTGAAAGAGACTGTCAGAAACCTCGACAATTGAGGCACAAAAACTGGGAAAGGAAGAATGTCGAAAGGGTTTCGATATTTACGGACTGACAGGGGGAGTGAGGAGCAGAAGGACGTGGTATTGAGATTACTTTCAGGGGCAGGTTTCAAAAGGTCATGACTTCGCTTTCTCCAAAGCACGCTCTGGGCTGCCCTGTTCCAGCGTTTGATCAAACATCAGCGCTGCCCGAAGGCGGCTAGCAATTCCCTGAAGGTCGACATGGCATGGCTCAGCCAGTCCTCTCCCTTCTTTTAGGAATCTCACGGGAGCCGCTTGTCAGCCTGTGCCGCGTGGCAACGTGAATATCCCAGCATGACCGCCGCGGTCAGCGAAGGCCAGAAAGTGCAGCAAGTTGGCATCCAATTGGTCCACGAGTTTCAGGGATTGCGCACGGGCAGCGTCCGTTTTCTCGTGTGGCTGGAATTCTCGAGGAGCCTCGATTCGGCAATTCCAGCGAAACGGAGACGCTCAAGCTCTGGCTGCTGCCACGTCAATAACCATGTGGATGTTCCACGTCACCATATTCTTACAGAAATTGGTTAGGTGTAGCTCATTTACATAATGTCCTCAACAAATCCATATGTTTCATGCATGATATACCCTCATCTGCTCATCCTGTTTCTTACTGTGGCCCTGCAGGCATCCTATTCAACATTGTGGAGCCTTCATTTGTGTAGCAAGAAAAACAGTTAAGAGGTACCGTAACTGGAAATTGCACATATAACAAGGTCGGGTAACTCGCTCATTTTTTGTTTTGACCAACCCTTACGATCAGTCTAGCACCTGTTCAAAAACCTGATTTTCAGGGTTAGCCGTTGTGGAAAACCTGATGCGTCAGGTTTTTTGCATGTATTAAAAAGACTACCCTGAGGCATCAGTGTACCAATTCGCAAAACCCTGCTTCAGTTGTTATTAACACAGCACACAATAACAAGCTTAATCATCATCATCAGACATGCCACACGGTTGTTGCTCGTGGTCGCTGTCCTCCTCTGGCTCCGGCACTTTCTCCTTGCCCTTTCGTTCCGCTGGGGTCGGCAGGGCCACGGTTTTCGCCGGCCGTCTGGTTTTTTGCTTGCGGGTCGGGTGGTTAGGGGAAGGGTGGGGGGGGGCGCGGGGGTTGGCTGGTACGCGCTTCAGGGTAAACCTCGATAAGCGGAACGGCAACCCTGAGGCGACAGTGTTCCTTAATCGTGAAACCTGGCACAACAGGGTACATCAAGGTCCTGAAAAAATTACCCAACAGCATCAGTGTTACTACCAAAAGTCACCCTTGTAGTCAGGGCATCAGGGTGATTTACACTGATAAAATGGGCCCTGGTCGAGTTGGCTGACAGCTACTGTCAAAATGTCATATCTTGATAGGCTGTAGTGAGGTGCCCTGTAGTGGGTACAATGCTTAGGGTTTGCCTATTTGTACCCAACTCATTCCGTTGTGTTCAGTTTTTGAGATGGTATCCGAGTAGGTTCCGTTCCTAGCTCCCCGCCCTAGCCTAGCGCCTCCGCGCCTAAGCGCCCTCCGCACCCTCCGCGCCTTAGCACCCTCCTAGCCCGGCCGCGCCCTCCGCGCCTTAGCGCCCTCCTAGCCCGGCCCTCGGTTCCGTCGCGCGCCCCTCCCACTGTCGACCGCCCCTCCCCACTGTCGTGCTCGCCCTCCCCACCGTCGCGCGTCCTCCTCACCGCCCCTCCTCACCGTCGCGCGCGCCCCTCCCCACCGTCGCGCGCCCTCCCTACCGTCGCGCGCCCTCCTCCTCGCCCCTCCCTACCGTCGCGCGCCCTCCCCACCGCGCCTCCGCCCACTCGCGCACCCACGCCCTTAGCCCGCGCGGCCTACCCTCTCCCCTCCACATCGCCCGCGCCTCGTCCGCGCCCTCCTAGCCTCTGCGCCACCGTGCCATGCCCGCACTAGCCTAAGCAACCTGCTCTAACCCTAATTCTAGCCCGCGTTTCCCGCGTGTCTTCGACCCCCCGCTACCCGAGTGTGCCCCTCTCTGCCCGACCGTTGGTTTCCCCTCCTTAACCTATCCCCCGGTCCCGCACCATTCCTACTGCACTTGGCTCCCGGCTTAGCGGCTGGCAGCCGCTCTTTCATCCGGTAGCGCCACCTAGGATCGGTTGGAGCCCCGCCCCTAGCCTAGTTCTCGCCACACATCTCTCGTCGTTCTCCAGCTGGCGTACCTATCCCTCCGTAGCCTAGCCCTCCATAGTCTTCCTCCTCGTTCTTAGCTCCGCCTCCGCCGTGCTCCAGCCGCCTCTAGCATGGCCTCCGTTATGGAATCCCGTCGCCTTCGTTTCGATGCAGAGGGACGCCCGATCGAATTCGGTACCTGGCAGCGCCAGACCACGCGTTTCCTCACCAGTCAGCGTCAGGACGGCGCCACCCTGTGGGCCCACGCGTCTGGTGCCCTCAAGGCGCCCCAGTCCCCCGCCCCCCTATCGACCGGCTCGGAGCCGACTCCTGTGGCCCAGGCGGACTACGACCGTCGGGTCCTGGCCAGGGACGTGTGGAACTCGCGCGACGCTGCCGCCGCCCTTTTGCTAACGGAGCTCCTCCCCCCGACTGAGGCCGCCCACTTTGACAAGGTGGAGACAGCTCAGGGGGTTTGGGATGCTATTGTAGCACGCTATTCCACCCCTTCCTCTGCCTCCCTCAGTCGCCTCCTCATGACGTTCGTGTTTCCCGACCTAGGCTCGTTTGCGACTGTGTCCGACCTAGTGACTCACCTCTGCTCACTTGACGCCGGTTTCCGTGCGGCCTGTACCGACGCCCAGCTTCTTGCTGCTCCCCCCCCCACGTGGCTCACTGTGCACTGGTTAGTCACCCACCTCCCTGACCGCCTTGCCACTGCTCGCGACGCGCTTCTCCAGAAGCACCCCACTGAGCTCACTATCGATCTCCTTGAGACCACTCTCGGGACGATCGAGAGTAGCCTCCTCACCGTTGCCTCCGCCACTGACGCGGTGGCCCCCCGTCTCTTTGCGGGGTGTGCCACCCCTCAGCTCCCCACTTTCACTGCTACCCGCGCTTCTGCTGCTGTGTCGGTTTCTGACAACACAGTTGCCGTTTCTGCCGCAGACAGGCAAAAACGGGGCAAGAGTGGCAAGAAGGGCAGGAAGGGGGGAGGTGGAGGCGGTGGAGGTGGGAGCGGCGGTGGTGGAGGCGGCGGCGGCGGCGGTGGTGCACCAGGAGGAGGGGGCCTTGGAGGAGGTGCAGGACAGACAGGCCCGCCCACTGGGGGTGGCTCGACCGATGGGGGTGTTGGACCCAGCAGCAGCAGCCGCAGCACCAGCCACAGCAGGGACAGCAACAGCAGCAGGGACCGCAGCAGTTCCACAGTGGGGGCCCCCACTGCAGTGGGGTCCGCAGCAGCACTGGGGTCCCCCCCCGCAGTGGGGTCCGGGAGAACCAGGGAGCATCGGCCGCAGTGGCAGTACTTCCAGCTGGGCCCCTCGCCCCCCTCGCCGTGACACTGGCCCCTGCATTCACTGGTGCCTCATCGGACCGGGCAGCCCCTGTCTCTGCGGTCGCGACGACCACTCTGCCGCGCAGTGCTTCCGCCGCCTCGACGACCTCTACCGTGCTCGTTGGGGCCCTGCGGCGACCACGCCTCGCTGGGCTCGCCTGTTAGCCCGTAAGATTGATATGTTTGATATGTCTATGGACGATGCTCGTCAGCATGCTTTGTATGCCGATGTTGGCTATAGTGCTGATGGATCTGTGTGCTCGCGTGTTCGTAGATTAGCTTGCTTGCCTCCTGCTAGTGTAGACTTGTGCCTTTCTAGTCTAGGTGCTTGTGTTGCTGCTCTAGGTGCTTGTGTCGCCACTAGGGCAGGTGACCCTCCGGCTGAGGCGTCCCTGTCCTTCACGCTGGACTCTGGCGCGTCTCAGTGCTTCTTCCGCGACCACACGACCCTCACGCCACTCCTCACTCCTGTTTCGGTGGCTCTGGCTGATCGTACCTCAGGACCAGCCGTTGCGCGTAGCTCCACTACCCTCCCGTGTCCTGTGGTCCCCTCTGGTGTCCTGCGCGGCCTCCACATCCCCTCGTTCACTCAGACCTTGGTGGGTGTTGGATACCTCCAGGACAGGGGGATCACAGTTACCTTTGTGGGGGGTGGGAGAACTGCGGTCTGTACAGACGCTGCCACAGGTGCTGTTCTGGCCACGTTCACCAGGGAGCCCCGCTCCGGTCTCTACGTTCTCCACACCGAGCGCTCCCCGGTTGCGTCCTCCGCTCAGGTCGTTGCGTCCCCTCCAGTCCAGGTGTCCAGTCCGGTTGCTGTGTCTAGCCAGGTGGTCGTGTCTAGTCCAGTTGCACTGTCTAGTCCTGTCGCGTTGTCCAGTCCAGTTGCTGCGTCCTGCTCCTGTCGGTCCCTCACCCACCGGACCGTCTTGTGGCACCACCGCCTTGGCCACCCGTCGATCCCCCGCCTCCGCGGCATGACCACTCACGGGCTTGTCACCGGTCTCCCGCGCACCTTTCCGTCGCTCCCTACCTCCCCTGCTCCCCCTTGCACTCCTTGCGTTGCCGGTCGCTTACGCGCCACTCCCCACTCCTCCTCCCTTCGTCCGGCCACTGCTCCCTTCGAGACTCTCCACTTGGACGTCTGGGGCCCTGCCCCGACGCAGGGATCTGGGAGGGAGCGTTACTTTCTGGTGGTCGTTGACGACTTCTCCAGGTACACCACAGTGTTCCCTCTCGCGAAGAAGTCTGAGGTGACTGC